AGTCACGTTTTCTCATCATGGAGGACGCTTCTGACTGTCCCGACGGCTTCAGCGAAGTCATTCAGCTCTCCCAATTGCCCCGTGACGCACCGCCTCCTAGCTGGGCCACGATACAATTCGGTTGACACCCTCATGGAAGATCTCAACACCTGGGGACGCGAAAATGGTCTCGCCTTCGTGAAGATGCAAGCAAGCAACTACTCGGAGGGGAAGGCACGACGATATACGGTTATTTGCGACCGTGGACGATCCCGGCCTAGAACCACCTCCCTTGGTCATGTTCGAAGTAGGAATGCAGTGGGGCGCTGTCAGAGGCGTCAAGTCATGCCTAACAATCGCCGCTCGCCCGTTGGAGCTCACTGACAGCCTGACTATGTTCTTTTTAGGTCTCGAATTTTCTATTGTAAAATGAACGAATTAACCCAATTTTATGGCCTCCTAGGGGGCGACGGTGACGTTGGTGGTGGTGTTTAGGGAGCGATCGCTAATTTCTTTGCGCTAATTTAGGGTGGGGAATGATATGGCTGACCGCCTTCCACATTGGGTCACCGCCTCCCAAAGCGGTTAAACACTGCCCGCGGAGCGGTTCTTCACTGCCCGCGGAGCGGAACTCAAATATAATCGTTAGTTATCAAGATAGATAGCGACGCCGCAGGACCTAACGTTGTTCAGCGCAGTAGCGACATTTCTGAGGTCTGTAGTTGTGACTGAATACCGATCAAAAGGGTCCGTCAATCCTTGGAAGGCCACATTTGGGGTGTCAACGGCCTTCTCAATCTCTTGTAAAACGACTGACATGAGGGGCGTATACTTGCCATTCCTTGCCTGGTTTACCATCTTGTGGATCACCCGCGCTGGACGGTCTGGATGGGGTCTGGCAAAAGCTGCAGCCATATCATCGAGGAAGCGGCTCTCGATTGGGTTCTCAAACGGCCATTCGTGGCGGTCGTTGGCCCGCAGCTTAACGGCATACTGAACCGCGATAACGAGCAACCCAGGGCAGCGGTCAAAGAAAGGATGCGTTACGAGCACTCGCAAAGCTTTGCAGAAGACAGGCGGCCAAATAATCAGGGTTAAGCACCTGGTCGCCATTAATTGAAACCAGTTCGGCTTTGTATGTAAGGCGTCGGTCGTCCAGGATATCGACTGGAAGGCAACGCATGATCCGGGGTACGATGCGCCAGAGTTGGTCAAACTCGGGGGGCCTCTTTCCGGCCAAAAAGCGCATCATAGGTTCTGATGTTGCCTGAAGAGTGGCAGTATCATCCGGACCCCAAAGGGGATCGACGACCAGTTTGATCATGGAATCGTATTCATCCAGGCTTAGTGGAGCGAGTGCGTCACTCTGGAGCGCTTCGCGTGCAGCCTGGTGTATGCTTACCCACTAGCCCGCTCAACCGCTGCTTCTCCTGCCTGCGCAGCTCCGCAGGCAGGTCGCTTAGCAGGTTTCCGAGGATCATTTCAGCCTCTGCTTCCTCGCCAGGAGGCAAATCACCCGTAGTTTCGCGCGCGCCCCGTTCGCTGGGTTGGAGGGGCATGGCACGAGCAGTTTCGTGTCGCCGCGATGCACCACGACCACGATCCTAATTGTTTTGAGAGCGGGAGGACAGTTCGTTTTGAAATGTTAAAAGTTGGGAAATTGGTGGTTGAGAAATTTGGCGGGGTGCTTCGGTTGGTAGGTAAGTCGTTATTTCAATCGATCGAAAATTGATCAAATTCGAGAAGGTGGGGGGGTTTGGTTTAGACAGGGCCTTCGTAACAGCATGTTTCGACGTATTCCCATAGTTAACTCTTTCGATAACGATAACGTCGATTGGTATCATCAATTAGCGGTACTACGAGCCTCCCTGTGCAGCGAGATCAGGTGGTATTGTACATAAGGTGCCTAGGTACCTACCTACCCCTGCCAAACTTCTTGAAGCCGACTGGTAAGGTGATACTGCCATACATAGGTACTACCTGGATACACCCCAGGGCTGGCGTTTTGAGGGCTTTATGGGGACTGGAACATCGCATCCTACCTAGAATCCAACTTGCACGTAGCGTCAGGCGCTGGGAACAGCAAGAATAACGGGGGCGGAAGCAGTGATTATTCTTTGAATTAATATGGACACGAATAAGACCCCGACTGTATTCTCTCGACGCAAGCCTAGGCGCTCCAGATGGTGGCGCGCTTCGCCTTGCCCTTGCCCTTGCCGACGCCAGTGGTCCGGTTGGTAAGGGCTTCGACGACGCCATCGTAGGCGGGGTGCTTGGAGAAGTCCTCGAACCACAACAGAGCGGCGCCCTCGCCCTCGAAAACGAAGGGGACCCAGCTGAAAGGGTCGTAAAAGTCCCAGATAGTGACACCGATGCAGCCGCAGACCTGTACGCAAGCGCCGACAACCTAAGGGGGTCAGTACAGAATCACGGGCGGACCTGACGGGCAAACTCACGTTCTTGTAGGCTTGCTTCTGCAGCTCGAGGTTCTCGGGTGTGGCGGGGGTCTGGAGACGGATATCGAGCTCGGTCAGGGCGACCTCGACGCCGAGCTTGGTGAAGCCCTTAATGGCGTCAATGTGCTGGTCGAGGGTGGGGTGGTCCTCGGCGACCAGGTGGGCTTGCAGGCCAACGCCGTCGATGCGGATGCCGTCGTCCTTGAGCAGCTTGACGATGCGCTGGGCGCCCTCGGTCTTGGCACTGGGCCACTCGAGGTTGTAGTCGTTGTAGTAGAGCTTGGCCTTGGGGTCGACCTTGGAGGCGGTCTCGAAGGCGAGCTTGAGGAAGTCCTCGCCGAGCACGTTGTAGAAGACGGACTCGCGGTAGGTGCCGTCCTCGTTCAAGGCCTCGTTGACCACGTCCCAGGCGTAGCACTGGCCCTTGTAGTGGCCCATGACGTTGGTGATGTGGTCGACGACGACCTGGCGCAGCTCCTCGGGGGTCCACTCGGTGGACTCGACCCAGGGGGCGAGCTGGCTGTGCCAGACCAGGGCGTGGCAGCGCAGGTACATGCCGTTCTCGCGGGCCAGTGACGTGACGATGTCGCCCTCGGTGAAGTTGAACTGGCCATGGGCGGGTTCGGCGAACAGCCACTGCGAGCGGTCAGCGTGCGTTCAGGGCTCGGTCACTCCTGTGCTTACCTTTTGGCCGTTGGTGGGAGTGGTCGAGCCGAACTCGCCCGATTTCCACATGATCTGGTCGTACTGGGCGTACGAGGCCTCGTAGCCGGCGCGCTCCCGCTGGCCGGGCGAGTCGGTGGCGGCGCCGAAGTACTTGAGGCCGGCACGCTTGGCGAGGACGTCGAGGCCGGTCTTGGGGCCATTGCCCTTGCCCTTGCCCGCCGCCATGCCCAGGGGCAGGGAGGCCAGGAAGAGGAGCGACGAGGGAAGATGCATCTTGACGTGTTGTTTTGCAGATCTGGGAATGTGCCTGGCGAACGCAAGAGAAGAGGCGACACCACGTCCCTATTTAATCACGGGAGGCCTGCGCGGGCAGGGCGACGGTCCGGAATCCCCAGGTCCATGGGCCCTTCGGGGTCCTCCACCGCGGTGCCCCATCGCTGCGACCTCGGTTCTTGCGCCCCATTCCCAAGCGCGTAGCGTGCAGGCGTTTCCCGATGCGGCACAAGGCGGCGGGCCGTGGACCGGGCTGTTGGTGTCTCGCCCGCGAGTGTTGGTCCAATATTTGGTTGGACCTGCAGACGCGCTGCAGGGGCTCATTTCGTCAAGGCGGGAGCCAGCTGCTGTTGCAATTCAGCCGGCAGCCGTCGAAGACTTCCAAGCTTCGACGGCGTCTGGGGGTCAAAGCGAGACCGCCGGATAAAAAGGGGGTTACATTCTGCCGAGACGAGCAAGCTTGGCGATGGCGGTTCATGTGGATGTTGCGGTTGATGCCGCCTTCGTTCAGCCGCATCTGTGTTGCTTCCCGTCCTTCGTTGGCGTGCTGATCAAAAATATACAGTTGACCTTTGTGGGATGGGCAAGCCTAGTGTAGCACGGTCCTCAGCATAATCGCGTACCGTGCACGACGCATCTCGGAGTCCTGGTCATCGGCAAACCACCAAAAACCGGGCTCCATTCTCCCCTTGGCAGGCGGGGATGCGGGGAAAAGAGCCCCACTGAAAGTTGGAGAAACGGGTTCTCGAAGGGCGAGAAGCTCTCGAAGGGAGGGCGAGACGGAGATTGCCGCCTAGGTAGTCAAAGGGAATCTCCAAGTTAGCGTACTTGGTATGCACTACGCTATCAGCCGGCGGATGTCTCGATGTGGCTAGGTTGCGAGGTTGCTGACGAAGGCGGGAGAAGGATGTGAGCTTCCAGAAGAATCAGCGCACATACCACAGAGTGCGGAGCCCCATCTCGACCGGGTCTTTCCGAGATTCGCACAACCGGAATTATCGCGCGGGTTAGGGTTCATGCAATGCTCTCAGATGACATCATGGTTTGGGCAAACCGCCAGACCCAGATGTGGTCGCGTCACGACCGCCGCCAACTTGTTGGTTGGCACGCCTTGGAAAGGGATGAACTCCTTCCCCATATCAAGGTCGTGGACCCATTGACCTTTTTTGAATTCCAGTATCCTGCTCCTGTTGATCACATTGACTCTTCACCCACCACATCACACCAGACAATACACAAACTTTTGCAAATTCATCCACCCACCCACCACCTTACCCACCTCAACCTTCCAACCAGTCGCAATCCATAATGTTTACCGCCCGCCTCCCTTCAAGAGTAGCCCCCATCGCCCGCAATGCCCGGGCCCTCCGGGTACGGCAGCCCCAACGCCGCTTCCAGTCTTCGCAAGCCGGCGCGGCTGGGTCATCCCACTTCGTTTCAGGCGTGGCAGGCGGCGTCGCGGGCGCGGGGCTCCTCTACGGCATCTACCTCTTGACCCCCACCGGCAAGATGGCCCGTAAGATTAACGCGGCAGCGAGGGAAACCGACAGAAAATACCAAGAGGCCGCGGCCACGATACGAGACAAGACCCCTACCACAGACGAAGCCGTCAGTAAGCTCAAGCAGTTTTGTTATTCCTATGTGGCGTGGGTCCCCGGGGGTCGCCAGTACGTCGACACGGCATTCAATGACCTCGCTGCAATCCGTCAGAGCCACGGCAAAGAGGTAGACCAGATTGTCAACGAGACCTACCGCGAGTTCCAAGGCATCACGAGCACCGGGTTGAGTCTCGAGTCAGCTTCCAAAGCATACGATGCGATTACCAACCTTGCCAAGAAGATTGCCAACCTTAGCGGCAGCGCGGCAGATCAAATCCTCGAGCGCCACCCGCAACTCAACGACAAGGTCGGCGGGTCGATCAAGCAACTGAAGAACATGGGCGCCCAATACGGACCCGAGGCCAAGAAGCTGGTCGATCAGACATGGACACAGGTCAACGACATCATGAAGAACGGGTTCTCAGCCGAGAACGAGGACAAGGTACGCAAGATCGTGGAGGAGCGGACGCAGCAAATCCGCAAGATCGGCGACGACCTCTGGGACAAGGGTCTCGAGCAAGCGAAGCCATATCTCGACAAGAGCCCGCGGCTCAAAGAGCTCGTCACGGGTAACCAGGACCTTCTCAAAAAAGAAAACGTAACAGGCCTGTTTCAGCAGATTAAGAGCCTTGGAGAAGGTGGCGACATGGGCAAGCTGGAGGAGTATGTCAAGGAGACGGTCGATAAGGCCAAGGCCAAGGGATCAGAGGCAACAGGCGAGGGCACTGGGTTTGCCGCGCTAAGCCAGTTGCTTGGGTCGGCTTCGGACGATGCCGGGCGCAAGCTGCAAGACAATATTGGGCTGCTAAGCGAGGTCGCGAGCAAGCACGCCTCCGAGGGAAAGGAACTGGTGGAGGAGACCAAGAACGACCTGAGGAAGTTGTTGGAAGAAAAGGCGAAGAAGGCACAGAAAATAGCAGACAGCGCAAAGAAGGACGCTGAGTAGGTCAGATTCCAGTCGGCGAGATGGGGTACTTGGAAATGCATACAGATCAGCAGATACCAACACTAATACTACCTGCACATCCGCATGGTAAGCTGAGTCATCACTCAACGTCCCCCACGCACTACCCGCATTTCATGGTTAGTGTTAGTAAGACAGTAACCCCTTTGCTCGCGGGGGTTTGCACTGCACGATAATCAAGACATCTGCCCAAAACCATGACCTTCTCAACCGCACAGATCGACCCACGAGCAGTCTCGCATCACAACTCATCAACTCGTCATGCCACCTTGTCCGAATGCAAGTCCAGCTCCTTGATGATAATATCGGCGGCCTTCTCACCAATCACCAAGGCCGTGTTGTTCGTGTTCGCAGCAACATTGCGAGGCACAATGCTCAGATCGGCAATCTTGAGGCCCTCGACCCCATAAACGCTTAGATTCTCATCTACCACACCGTCATCATCGCGCGGCGCCATCTTGCACGTCCCGAGAGAATGCCAAGTAGTGCTGATATTCTCCCGCAGCCACCTTTCAAGCACAGCGTCGTCATCGGCTGAGTACTCGATGTCAGGCGCGTCGGCGGGGAGCGGACCGTCCTGGAGAGTGACACTTGCTGCCTGTGAACCAGGCCCAAAAGGTGGGTGGCACGCGGCCATCTCACCCCGGTAGGAGGGCATTCGCCGCATGATTTCCCGTTGCTTCTTGTAGGTCCATTGGTGCTTTTTGATATCCAAGTCGCCATCGTCAGCGAAGAACCCAGTGTCAAAATCGACCGGGTCTTCGAGCTGCGGCCCTGTGATGTGGATGTGCCCACGCGAAAACGGGTAAACCGTGAAGGCGGATATGGCCAATCCGGGGCCACCGGTACTGAGGCTCGGATCTCCGGGGAACCCGGCAATGACAGTGAAGATCACGGTAGGTTTCTCAGGATGGTCTCTAAACTCCCGGTCCCATGCCTTTTTGAACTCAGGCCCCAGGGCGGCAACCTCTGCGTCTGTCGGCCGGGCCTTCACCTGGACTTCTTGGGCGTTCCAACCCAACATGGGGTGTTGTGCCCTGATCAGGTCTTCTGGGTTTCCCATACGGCCGTACGCTAGGTCGTCGAGCGTGTCGCTAGCGTCCAGGGAGTTGAGGTACGGGTACACGGCCAAGTGATGGTCTTCGTAGCCATTTCCCACACCGGGCGCCTCTGCCACAACCGGCACACCCGCAGCTTGCAAGACCGGCTGGCTGCCTATGCCGGATCTTTCCAAGAGAGAAGGCGTGCCGCAAGCTCCGCATGATACAACAACAAGTCTGCGGGCTTTGACGGTCTTGATATCGCTCGCACTGCCACCGAAGGCCGGGTTCGGCCGGAGCTCAACACCGACCGCCTTGCTTTTGTCGAACAGAACCCGCTTGACCTGGGACTCGACCAACACGTGGAGGTTGGGGTGCTCCCCTTCGTTCAACAACGGGTGGAGGTAGCAGGTTGCTGCGTCTTGTCGTTTGCCATCGAGAGAAACATAACGATAAGCCCGCCCCACAACGTTTACACTCTCCAGATCCTGCACATCCTCGACTTCGGGCCACCCGACCTTTGCTGCCGAGGTGATGAATTCGTCCTCGACTTTCTTCGAATGGTACGTGCCGCGAGAGACGTGAATAGGGCCATCGTGGCCATGCACACCCTTCTCGTCCTTGCCATGGTATGTCTCGACCTTTACGAGCGTCAGTGCTTTAAGGCTTGTAGGAGTACACGGGCAGTCACCTTCTTCAAATAAGGAAGCATATCCGCGCCAGACCATCCTGCGACATTGCAAGAGTCAAAGTCGGTCTTTTGCGCCCGGCTGTACATCATAAAGTTTGTGGACGAGCCTCCGCCGAGCACACCGCCGGACGGCAATACGAGCTCACGGTCTGCCAGAGCGGCAGACCTTTTGGTTTTGTAAAATAAGTTGGACGTGCTGCCAGGTGCAAGGTGGATGAGGAACAAGGCGGGGTGGGTAATGGTTGGGACATTGGCGTTGTTCTGGCCGCCCTCGATCATCAGGATCGACAGGCTCGGGTCTGCTGCCGCCAGCCGTGAGGCAACCACGCAGGCTGTTGTGCCGCCTGCAAAGTGTTAACAATTCGAGGCGGAGAATGTTCATCGAGCATCGGCAGGTACTTGCCGCCGGCGATGATAACATCCACCTCCTGGATGCTATCGGGAAGCTTGTTGTAGAGGCCCATGGTGAGTCCGAGTCAAAGTGCTATAGGAAGGGCGGTGTCCGGTGAGCATACTCTGAGATTCCTGGGAGCCAGTCTCATATTTACGATGGGATTAGTACCCGATGCGGGGTGGCCTCAATCCTACATCCATTCAACCAATGGCGAGAAGACCGGCGTCGAGCTTCTCTGCAAGTGAGCAGAATGTCAGCTTCATGTTACATCGCGGTAAGACGCTTTGAGTGGCTGTCAGGACTTCTTCCTCTTTATCTTCCAACTCCAAACTATGATTCAGAGCGGCACACTGCGCGTGCAGTTTATATCCCCTCTCTCTAATTCCCTGTACACGGCTAGTTAAACTTCCTCGGAGTTGTCGTCTCTGTATCGCAGAGGTAAGGTACCTTTAGGCGCACCTATAAGCCAGTGTTGTTTTGATTAGATGCGAAGTTAACTTTAGGCTGTCCAAATGCCATGCGATGGTGAGGGCAGGTATCGCGTGTGAGAAAGCTATCCACAGTCGGTTACCTAAGTCTCCCTCCATGCCGTGGCAGTGTCACCGCTCTCGGACCAGATATCTAGTTGGTCTGTCTGTGCTACCCCTTTAGGTCAACGCCGGTATCTTTTCCTTTCGTGATTTACAACACTACGGGAATACTGGCGGCGGTGGCGGATCTTAAACTGCTTGATATTCGTGCCGTGTAACAACATTGGTACGTCATTGGTACCGACAATCGCCTGAGCCCCCGAGTACGCAAACCAGGTAGCTAGAACCTAGCACGAAGTTTGATTGTCACTCCCCTATCGAAGATAAGTATGACTTTGATAAAATGAACAGGAGAAGAGGGTTTGCTCGCCTTGGCTCGTAAAGCCCACAAGAGGTATCTACGGCCACAGAATTCTTCGAAAGCGAGAGACATTTCCTTGATTCCTCTAATATCATTTTCCTAGCCAGATTCTTTCCTCTTAAAAGGTCCTCTTCCTTGCAACAGTTCAAGGTTACTTTTCTCACACAGGATCTCCTCGTGCCAACCATTTTGCCCCTCCACTACCCCCTTTGCAAATGATTGATGGGCTTTTTCCCAGGAAGTGCTCTCGCCCCTCCCTTCGACCATTCTTTTTACTGCTGCTAGCGCTTTCTCGGTGCTGGGGCGAATACATGTGGACCTCTCGGCGAAGCCGGTCCCACTCGATTGTAACAATAGCCGCCCTCAAACTAAACTCCACAAGGCTAGAAAAGGCAATGCTCGGCGAATTATTCCCATCCGGATGATTCTCGGATCACGACGTGGTAGTGTAAAAAGGCGACTCCAGCCAGGCCCGGGATGGGATGACGGAAAACATCACGAGATCCGGCTTTCGGAGCATCGCTAAGGCGCCTACCATGGTACTTGTGCAGCACAACGGTTGGGTCAAATTGTTTATTATTTTCCAGCTCCACCAAGGGATGATGCTGGAGGCCGTTATGGACAATGCATCCCTGGGCATGTCCTGGTATACTTGCACTGTATACAAGTATGAACGGCAAAGAGCTGTCCTCTTGGCGACGGCACCTCCCGTTAAAGCCGCTAGCCCGGTGTGTTCAACTACCGGCGCGGCGAAATACTGGTTGGCTTGACAAGTCACAAGTTGACAACTTGACACGCCTCCATCCTGGACCCACGTCCATTCGGGCCGGGCACGGCCTCTACCGGCGCTCATCCTTGACATCCCCTTTGCAGCCCCACCTCCTCCAGGTGCATTAAGCCCGGACCTGGAGCACGCGATGAACGGGACTGGAGAAGTTGGGGATTTGTGGGGAGATTATGGGGTCCTATCTGGGGGTTCTGGCGGAGAGAAGGCAAGAAGGGTATAGCATCGCTGCTATTTCGGACCCCGTTTCCTTGAAAGTGTGGAAGCAGGGGGCTTACTCGTGGAACCGTCCTGCCTGTAACACGGGAACTTCCGATGTGCCTTTTCCACCGCGGCTATAACTGTTGCACAGGAACCTGCGTCGTTTTCTATCCCTCTGTGTCTCGTATCCAACCCCGGGGGCTTCGTTGGGACGTCCTTCAGCCTCAACCTCCCAACCCGGCAGCAATACGCGCCTCGCTTTTGTACTCACCATGGCGGCCAAGCCCGACGACGCCCAGATCGAGAAGGCGGACCAAGAGTGGGACGAGAAGGGCCTTGCTCCAGGCGAACCCAGCGATGAAGAGGTCGACGCCTTCATCGACGACATGGAAGCTCAGCTGGCGGCGGAAGGGCTGCGCAAGGGGCTGCTGGACATTGAGTTCAAAAACCCAAAGCACTTCACTTGGGTCATCATCGCTTTCGCGTCCATGGGTGGCCTGCTGTCCGGCCTAGACCAGTCAACCATCTCGGGCGCCAATCTGTTCCTACCAGTTGACTTGGGGCTGGACACGAGGCAGAATAGCCTCGTCAACGCGGCTATGCCCCTCGGCGCGGTCGGAGGCGCGATCATCCTGTCTCCTTGCAACGAGTGGACTGGTCGGCGATGGTCCATTATCATTTCCTGCATCTTGTACACGGTTGGCGCGGCGCTTGAGGCCGGAGCCATCAATTATGGTAGGCACCCCTCTTTCTATGACCCATCTGCTGTTTTTCCCTAGAAACTGACTCAGCCTTTTACCTCCTAGGCATGATCATCGCTGGACGGGTGCTTCTCGGCATGGGCGTAGGCCTGGAGGGAGGCACGGTCCCCGTCTATGTGGCCGAGACAGCCGAACGCAAAGTGCGAGGCAACCTTGTGTCGCTGTACCAGCTCAACATTGCACTGGGCGAGGTCCTTGGCTACGCCGTGGCAGCTATGTTTCTGCGCGTGCCCGGTAACTGGCGCTACATACTGGGCTCGTCCCTGGTGTTTTCGACCATCATGCTGGTGGGCATGTTGTTCCTGCCGGAGTCCCCGCGCTTTCTCGTACACAAGGGCCGTACCCTGGACGCGTATCGCGTGTGGAAGCGCATCCGCGGCACTAGCAACCCCGAATCACGCCGCGAGTTCTTCGTCATGAATGCGTCCGTCCGGGATGAGGCGCGCATCGTCGCCGAGAGCGCAGTAAACAAGCGCTTCCCCTGGCTGGACTTCTTCACGGTGCCGCGCGCCCGCCGCGCCCTCATCTACGCCAACATCATGATCTTGCTGGGCCAGCTGACGGGCGTCAACGCCATCATGTACTACATGTCGGTGCTCATGAACCAGATAGGCTTCGACAAGGAACAGGCCAACTACATGTCGCTCGTCGGCGGCGGCTCCCTGCTGCTGGGCACGATCCCCGCGGTTCTCTTCATGGAACGGTACGGCCGCCGCTTCTGGGCCAACACCATGCTTCCCGGCTTCGTCGTCGGCTTGGTTGTCATCGGCGCGAGCTACCAAATCAACCTCAAGACCAACCTCGAGGCCGCCGAGGCTACCTACCTCATTGGGCTCATCCTGTACATGGGCTTCTTTGGCTGCTACGCGTGCTTAACGTGGGTGGTGCCGTCCGAGGTGTACCCGACGTACCTGCGGTCCTACGGCATGACTACCTCGACGGCCCTTCTATTCCTCGCCTCGTTCGTCGTCACCTACAACTTCTCGGCCATGCAGCAGTCCATGACCCGGACGGGCATGACGCTGGGCTTTTACGGCGGCATTGCGGTTTTGGGCTGGATCTACCAGCTTCTGTTCATGCCCGAAACGAAGGACAAGACGCTTGAGGAAATCGACCTGTTGTTTCAGCGGTCGACGTCAGAAACGGTTTCCGAGAACGTAAAGAACTTGAGCCAGGGCTTCAGGAACCTTTTTGTTAGGAGGTAGGGATCAAGCAGCCGGAGCAGGTAGTTAACTCTACGCTCTTAAATGTATTCAAGGGTGTTGTTCAAGACATTGATAGTACCATCCGCATCGAGGTTAACTTTGGCCCGGTGCACTGTCAGGACGAATGCTGCGGTCCTGTTCTGCTCCCTCCTTCAGAAGATCGTCTTGATTAGAACCAACCGCTCAGAGGCCTTGCATACTGGGACACACATAAGGTTTCAGCTCGGAACGTTTCAAGATTCTCTTCTTGGATATCATGTTATTGGGCTTCTGTTGTTCTATCCTTCTTCCAAACCAGCTGGTATTCTAAGATCTGATATTTGCTCCCAGAAAACCCCACGCCTTGCTTTCGTCCCGCACTTCGTAGTTTGAACCCATCTAGCCGCTCCACACGTTGGGGCCGGGAATGGGGTAGCTGTCAAAAGCTTCGTAGAGGTTGAAGAGGATACCCGGGTCGGTGGCCGTGTAGAGGGATGTACCGGGGGTGCCGCTCGGGGTAGAGGACCCACCGCTGGTCACCTCGATGTTGATGCACTGGGGGTAGGCCTGGGCGCCGTTGGCGTTGCCGGCCGAGTGGAGGGCGATGATCTCGTGACGGAGAACGTAGCCACCGGGGGCGAGGTTGCTGGGAATGGTGACGGTCCAGGCGTTGCCGTTGGCGATCAGGTCGTCCGAGGCCCAGTTGCCCGGGTTGTTGCCCGAGTTAAGGCCCTTCTCGGCGATCTTGGCGAACGAGAGAGAACCCGCGCTGGCCGAGGAGCAGTCGCCGTTGCAGGACGCGATGTAGTCGATGACGGGCCCCTTGTGTGACTCGGGCCAGGTGTTCCACTGGAGGGTGATAGTGCTGCCGGCCTTGACGCTGACAGAGTTGCTCGGGGGCTTGGCGCTCTTGTGGCAGGCGATGTCGGCGCTGCCGAAGGAGTTGGGCTCGACGAAGCCATTGTCTTGGTTGCTCGCCGACCAGCCGACAGCGTCGGCGGGAGCACCGCTGGGGATGCCACCCGTGTAGGTCACACCTTCGGCGACGACCGTCTGGACGTGGCCGTGGGCACTGACGGCGGCAGCGAAGGCGATGGCCGAAAGGGCAGCGGAACGAGGAGAGACAACCATTTTGACGACTGTGATCGGTGTAAGGAGGGATCTGATGCTTCAGGGGGCTCGGGCTTGAGGATGAGAGTTTTCTGGATCATTGGGAAGGGGGAAACACAGTGATTTATACTTGGAACATGGAATTCGAACTACAGTCTCCCCTCCTATGTATCGCATATTGCACCCACGTTCTATTTTCGTGCTGCGGGGGGTTGGAGCAGAAAACCGGGCTGGCTCATTATCATTTGGCTTGCACCCGGGTTTTTTGTCATGCTATGTAGCGGGATCGACGAGGAGGTTCGAGTATTGCCGGCTTGGGCCGGACGATCTCTTCCCAATCCATGCATTACGGAAGATGGCGAGCAAGCACAGGATTCACGGAAGCGGCTGTCCAAGCTCCGCCATTACTCTTTGTGTACTACCAAGACGGTGTTTTTATCAAGATCGCAGTGATGTGCAATGATGTTTGCTCGCCCAAGATAACCTAGCGTACCGCGCAACGTTCACCACCAAACTGCCAATGCACTAGGGTCACATTGCATCACGGGCAAGGGGCGCACTTCGGTTCGGAAGGCGTTCCCGATTAATTACCACGCGTTGGCTGGCGCGCCGCCGGTAGTTATTACCAGGTAGACGGTTCCAGAAACGCCGAAAATGCTCCCATCCAGGAACAGTGCACCACATTTCCGATTTATCTCAAACCAACATTTCGGCTGAGGCGCCGCGTCCCACCTGTTTTCCACAAAATGCTGGTCTGCACTGATGTCGGAGCATGGGCCCGGATTAAGACAGGTGCGAGGCCCGGAGAACGGCATGGGCTTGAAGCTTCAAACACAATCAGAATTCAATATACCTAATACGTAGTGGCCACATGGAGGGTCAGGTGTACGTCATGCTATATGTGTGGTCACTTACCACGGAGAATTGGCGCTTGGCCAACTGGACTGTTCGCTCGCTCCTCACTGGCGACTTGGGTGACGACAGCTCCCGCGAGCCAACCAACAAGCCTTCCGTGGTGATCAGCCCTCTAAGCGACGGCTGGCTACCCTCCGCCTCCCTCCCGGATCTCATCCAATAACTGCCTAATGGTATTCAACTTGACAGGCTTCGTCAAGAACAAGTCCAAGCCGCTTGCGGTCGCTTCGGCCCCGTTCACGTCGCTGCGGAGGCCCGTCAAGGCGACGATTTTGCATCGGCCCACCCCGACGGCAAGCTCAAGCTGCCGTATCTCACGAGTGGCCTCGAATCCGTTCATCACGGGCATACTGATGTCCATAAAAATTAAGTCGAAGCGGTTCGCCTGCCCCTCCAGGGATTTCTTGTACAGCTGCACGGCCTCGAGGCCATTATTTGCGGTTGCGAACGTGTGTTTCAGCTTGCGAACGAGTTGTGTCAGGAGTTTGAGATTGATAGGGTTGTCGTCGACAAGAAGGAGATGGGGGCCGCTTGTCGGCTGCGGTTGTGAAGCGCTTATTTCTGTGGAATCCGGCCCGGCCGTGTTTCCGGACGATGTATTAGGCGGTGGTAAAGCCGGCTCCTTGCTCCATAATGGCAAAGTGGTCTGATCGGACAGCGAGTTGCATGCTTGGTCTCTCGCCTGGGCATTCAGCGTATCATCAAACTTGGCGTGTAGTGCCGACCGGAAAACCGCGGCGAGCTTCCTCGGGCCGATAGGATGGTGCAAGTGAAGGCCATGGTCATGGCCATTTGTGAGCTGCTGCTTGAAACACGAGGATGACCCTGAGCAGAGCACCACGAGCGGCGTGGCGCGCGCCTGCCAGGTCTGCAGGACCCTGTCGCGGCACTCCTTCGTTTGCTGGGCCAACATGCTGCTGTCCAAAATGTAGACGTCCGCGCTCGGCGCCGGGCAATCCTTGGTCCCGACCACCACCTGCATCCCAAGAAAGGCACCTGCATTGGCGCTAATGGCTTTCTGGACGATGTTGGACCAGTCCCGGGACTTGTCACTAACCTGAAACTCTGCCCCGGGCACAGCTGCGCAGGCGTCGGCTGCGACAAAACACAAGGTCCGCCCACGGAGCTCCGATATCTCCCGGTCGGCGGCGAGCTGATCGGTAATGACCGGAACATGCTCGCCGAACGGAACCAAAACCTCGACGAGGGTGCCAATGCCCAGCGAGCTCTTGATGTTGACGGCGCCGCCGAGGTCACTAACGAGTTGCCGCACAATACTGAGGCCCAAGCCCATGCCTGGGGCATGGCTGTCTTCCTGGGAAAACGGCGTAAACAAGCGGTATTTGATGTAGTCGGAACTCATGCCGGCGCCCGTGTCCTCTACGGTGAACGAGACATAATCGACAACATTTCCAACCCTGTCTGTCCGCTTGACGACCTTAAGCCCGACCTCGATACGACCGGCGCTGGTGTACTTGATCGCATTTCCGAATATGTTCATGACGATCCGTTTCCAGGCGCCTACGTTGAAGGGAAGCTTCCATGGGCGTCGGGCAATATGAACGGTTATGAGAATCGGGTGTTCCAGGAAGCCGTGTTCCGCATTGGTGAGTCTGTGCCGGGTAGGCGAAGCCTGCATTTGCAGGGCGTTTCCGGAGAGGTGCCCGACGCGGACGACGTCGACGACATCCTCGACTAATTTCCCCAAGTCTGTGTCTTGCATGTCGGAAATGGCGGGTGCCCCAGCGCCGCCGCGCCGTCCGGAATGCGTCACGACAGCGTGGTCGAGTAGGTTGTTGAAGGTATCGAGCAGTGTCGTGGCGCACGAGTCGAGCATGTCCAACGTCGCCAAGAGCGGGCGCTCCGAAATGCTCTCGCGGACCAGCTCGCTACTCGCCATGATGCCGTGAAGTGGGCTCCGCAGCTCGTGGCTGAGTGAGGAGACGAAGTCGGACTTGGCGCGGCTCGCAGCCAGCGCTTCTAAGCGCGAGACCTCGGCCATTACCGAGTTCCCAAAGGCTGAGACCAGACCGACATCGCCGAGATTGAGCGCCCGCGTGGGATCCTCGACCCAGCCGAGCGTGGCGGCGTACCAACACTCCCGCTGAAAGTGCCACAGAGGCAAAAAAATGACGTACTTCGCGGCCGGCAACACGCGGAAGAGCGCGGCGATGTCGCTTCGCAGGCGCAAGCCCTCTTGGTCTGCCTTGCGCCGAGACTCGAAGAGCTTTCCAACGCCGTAACTGTCATCGATGGGACCTAGCTCGTCGGCGGTAAACACGTGGCCGTTTGGATAGGCTCGAATAAATCTCTGGAGCGAAACTTCGGGAAGTGGGATATGGGTTGAATGGGTCACGGTCTCGGCTCCCTGGCCGGCGACGGACTTGACGATTGCCGCGCAAAACGGTCCCTCGGCCCGGCTCGGTGACGATTCTCTCGAGTCGAGCAATGGTTGGTTCGGCCGGTCGAGATAGGAGCTAGGCACGGCATCGAGAAACATGAGACCATCCATGTCCATGGAACGCCGGATCGTGGCCGCCGCCCTGAAAAAGGTGGTCTTGATGTTGGCCGAGCTGATGAAGCCGTGTGGCTCCGAGTCTTCGGACAGGGCGCTCGGCGGCCGTGGTGCGGCAGCCTCTGCGGCCGCTTGAGCGATTGCCGCCTCGAGTTGTTGCTCCATGGGGTTGTCGGCCGGGTCATCTCGAGGGGTAGTCGGAGGCGTCTCTGAACGGCCTTGCTGTGGAGAAGCGAGTGACAAAGCGGATGTTGCAGACTCTTGGGACGGCAGTGAGGCCATCCTTGGTCGCGGGTCGGATGACTCCAGGTCATGCGACGATGCCGTTCGGGTGGGGTCGTTCCGACCTAGCCTACTGGAAGCGGTCGAGCCATGCAGGTCCAGTGTCGACTCCGCTCCCTCGGGTGCGGCGCTCTCTGGGGCCGGCCCGGGGCCGATGGGCGGGTCTTGTCGTATAAAGCCGCTTAAGCCCTGGATCAGCTGTTCAGACCTGTCCCGGCTCTGCTTGATCCTCACGTTTTCGAGGTGGGCCATGATGGTGGCGGCAATCTCGTTCATGATCTCGACGAGCTCGTCCTTGTCAAAATTGTTCTGCTTGCTGTCGACGACGCAATAGCTTCCCAGAAGATAACCCAACGGGGACACGAGCGGGACTTCGAGGTAGGAGGTGAAATGCGGATAGCCCGTCACGTACGGTCGGTCCTTGTAGTCGGGGTGGGTCCGGAAATCGTTGATGATGTAGCGCGTCCGGTTGGCGATGACATCTGGGCCGGTCTTCACCCACTCTCCCGTCTCGTCCATGAAAGCCATCATGGTGGCAGGGCAGATGCCGTCACAGTTGCGGAGCTTGCAGACGCCTATCGCCACGGTGTCACCGGGGGCGCACTTCATGCCGACGAACGAGTGCGTTCTGGTAACCTCGGAGACGACATACTGATACCGGCGGTCGATGAGCGAGACGAACGCGCGGTCGACATTGAGGCGGAGGGCGCCTAATTGGGTGAGGGCATTGAGAGTGGGATCGGTGCAGAGCAATGCCGTCTCTTGAAAAGCAGTTGGCATCCCCGGGGGGAACGAGGCAGCGGAGAGGTAGCTAAAGGGGGGCCATGGGTTAGTGATAATGCGCATCAGAGTCCGTTCAGCTGGACGGGGCGAGCACACGACGACCGGAAAACAAACTCACGCTGCAATTTCGCGCTCCCTGGCACGCTCAGAGATCTCGACTTGGCCCGCCTGAGAAGACGCCAGCGCTAATGCACCAAGATTATCCACAGGGGTGGACATGATGTTGGGGTTCCCGGCGAGTCAGTGACGGATACGACGACTCGATTTGAGTAGTTATACGGGGATCCGTCGTCAGCGGCATCGTGGGACCGTGTTGGGGAGAGAGGCACATGGCGAGTGGGCGACGGCGAATTTGCGCGGTGACGGATTCGTCGTGTGGCCGAGGCGATTTGCGGGAAGCCAAACATGGCGGCAGCATCGTGTGCCAAGTTTTCAGCTTCAGTGCTGCAATCCCAAATGCCCCTCCTTCCGGAGTTCCTGCTCCTAGCGAAGAGTCGACTCGACGCCACTGTAAGCCGTGGCTAAATTAACAATGTGTGGCTGCCGCAGGCGCTAGCTTCCCGTCGTTCCGTCGTCGGGTTGCTTCCCCCAATGGAATCGCGGAACGCGTGAGAAATCGCCGACGCGACAATCGACGAGAATTGAACAAAAACCATCAGCTTCCCTGTTAACTCCCTACCGCACTGCCGCGCGTTCCACCCTTCCTTCAACCGACCTTGACGGAACTGCCCAGGCGGAATTGGCCCCCATCACGAGGCGCAGCCTGGCCCGAGCATTTTTGCAAGCCCAGGAACCAACAACCGGGCGAGATGGGGTACAGGGGTGGGCCCCCGAGCCGTAAAGATCAACTGAAACCCCCAAGCGCAGTTCTCCTGACTTTGCTCGCTGCTGATCGCCACTTAACACGACCAAGGAGTCGGGAGCGCCTCAACCCTCCTCGACGATGATCAATTTTGGTATTCGGACCCGCATATTGGCCGTCGTCCTCATTGCGCTGGCGCTCGGGCTCTTGGGCACACAATTTCTGGTGCGTGATGACACGCGACTAGAAAGTCTGCCTGCGGGTCACGGGCGGCCGAATGCTGGTCCCAGACGGAGCATCAAAACCGCACCTAGTCACGAGACAGAAATCAAAGAATGGAGCCTTGGACCGCCCCGGGTGCCATGTGTAGGGCCGCGAGGGCTAGAGCTTGGCCAGGAGGAGAACGATGACAACCCACGTGAGAACGTCATCGACATCCGTAAGTCTGCCAACGTTGAACGGCCTCACCCTCGGCCTCTCCATGATCCAGTCAAGACTTAACCGTATCCGGCAGCATACCCTCGCCCGTTTGTGGGCTCTCATGAGAGCATGGGCTTGAGCCAGACCTGGATGACAGCCGCCGAGCGCTATGGCCCGTACGGCTGGGGTGACGACAAGCCGACATACGGCAAGACGAAGGTGGCATGGGACTCGGCAGACTGGGCGGCCCTGCAAAATCAATGCCTAGCACGCAATTCCCAGAGATTCAAAGACCCAACGCCCCTCCGCGCCGGTGAGCGCCGCTTCCGTATGCGCGAGGCAAGCGAGGAGGTGAGGCTTCCGGTGGTTGAACCGCAGGCGGCCGAGCATGTGCCACGGACGGCCATCGTTTTCCGCGTTTTTGAGGGTTACAACTACACCGCTGAGGACCTCGTGAACCTGCGCGCGACCACCGCCGAGACAGCGCTGCGTTACGGCGGCGAGTATACCGTCTTCATCCTCGTTGATGTCAAGGACAAGGGCCGCGACATTTTTGCCAGCGAGGATAACTACCAACGGGCAGTCCGGGAGTTGGTGCCCGCCGAGTTCCGAAATATCGCAGTCCTGTTCGACGAGACGCTCCTCCAAAGCTGGTATCCCAGCATCAAGACGCACATTACTACGTACCAGGTCATGCAACCGCTGCAGCTGTTTGGGTATTTTTATCCCGAGTTCGACCACTACTGGCAGCTAGAGCTGGACCTTCGGTTCACCGGGCACGCCGGCCGCTACCTCGCGGGCATGTCTGATTTTGCACGCGAGCAGCCGCGCAAGCAGGCTATGGAACGCAGCACCTGGTTCTATATGCCCGAGTTTCACGGTGGCTACTCGGACCTGTTGGCGGCCGTCAACGCGTCCCTAGAGGGTAAGGGCGGACTGGGTTGGGGGATGAAAATCCAGGATTTCGAACCACTTGGACCACAGCCGCCCGTCGACGATCCCTTGGAAGACAATTTCGAGTGGGGCGTGGGCGAGGAAGCCGACTTCATCGCCGTTGGGCCGTGTGCGCACGTCCAGTATATGGTGGACTGGGCGTGGCGGAACTGGTACCAGGGGCTCAAGGCCGGCACCAAGACGCCGAGGTGGATGTGCCAGCCAGCGATGGGCCGCGCGAGCAGGACGCTGTTACAAGCCGCCCACCACGCCCAGGCCGCCCAAGGCCTTGCGGTGCACTCGGAGGCCACCCTGTCGTCGTTTGCGCTTTGGCACGGCTTCAAGCTCGTTGCGCCGCCGCACCCTGTCTATCAGAACCCGCAGTGGCCGCTCGACAAGATGTACAAGTTGTACAACGGGCCTGGCGACGTCGAGTCGCACCAAAAGTCGGGCATGGTTGGCATGGCCCACGGCAAGGCCATTTACCGAATCACGCCTTACGCCTACATCACGACGTCGTCGTCGTTCTGGTACTCGTCGCCCTTCCCCGACGAAATCTACGATGCCTGGTTGTCCCGCGGACCTCAGGGCGGAAACGCGAGTGCCGAGGTGCCGTACGTGCTCTGGCGCAGCGAGAACGGGACTGTATACGCGCCAAACATGATGCTACATCCGGTGAAAACGAACCAAAACCTGGTGGACCTCCCGGCAGGACCGGGCCCCGTGTTTTACGTAGCCACTGGCGGTACGGTTATCTTGTTGCTATCCCTCGCGGCCGCGGGCTTCTGGTGGTGGAGACGGAGGGGGGACGGCAGCTACGCTCCTCTGAGGAAAGACGATGGCGATTAGCTGCCACGCATTGGGCGCAGCGATCAAATATATACTAGTAATCCAATTGTTTAATCATTGTTAATCTCAGTTTTTGTTGTTCCATCCCATCTACCCTCGACACACAATCTGAGTCGTTTTCATGCAATTGCCACCTATAGCTCATCGCCAAATCCACGAGGTTGAGTGGCAGCCTGCAGGGAGGATTGGCTGAAGAGCGACTCCTGTCGGTATGGAACCGCCAGTCCCAAGAAACATCATCCTCCACGGTGAGGTCAAGCCAATTAATAATTTCACATCTTGGCTGGGTTACAATTCATGAGATCGAACTCGTAGTCAACGAAAATTCAGTTTTGGCCGAATTTCGAAGAATACCTAACGTTAACTAACAATCTGTGATTTTACTTCCTTCCTCCCAATACTGAATCAACTGTTCAACCTCGTTACCCCTCCACACCACCGACCGACCAATTCGATTGCAATTTCATCTCAAAACTCAGAGCACAAAATTGCGTCAACTCATTTGTCCGGAAGCCTACTACCAGTAATTCGAATCGTGACTTTCGCTACTAGGATTGCCCGTTGACCTCCTCCAATCCAGATTCCTCTTACCTGTCCGCGATCTCTCTCTGCAACGTCAACATGAACCAGCCTGAGAGAAATTTTCAAAGTGGACGAGCCGTCTCAAATGGTATGGGTTACCGGTCCATTTCAAACATTCGTTGCTAACCCCTTGCTTGTAGTTGAGCTACCACCCATCATTCCGCGTGAGCAAATTGGATGAGACCAGAACGGAAACCCCTACGACATGAGAAATCCAGGTGGCTGCTTCATGACCGACCCTCTTGGCCCGGGAAACTTGGTTATACGTGGAAGCTTGTTGGCGATACAGCGGGTGGTGGCTATAGTGGCGGAAGCAGATCCAACGGGCCGGTATTGGTCGATTTTGTGGGAAGATATTACGACGCGACGAAGGCCAGTCACGGTCTCGGGTTTTTGAAAGGATCACATTACGCGGGCTTTGGGGGAGGTATACTGATTCACGGGATAGGAGATGGGGTGGGAAGGCGGAAGGGATGGAGCGGGCTGCGGGACTCGGACTGAGAGCCGCGATTAGCAGTCAATGCAGAATTGCGGCGCGAGGGGACACACCCAGTCGTGCGTCTTCTTGTCGCTTCACATTATCATCACAGTTGCTTGCCTGTTTCTTCTAACCAGGTTCAGTGCCCTCGGCCAGGTATCGCCGAGGGCCTGAGACCGAGACGGGAGGGGCAGGAAAGGGTGGATGATAATCCAGTCTTTTGATGAAAAGGGTGATAAGATTGGCCTATTCAGGCATAAATATCCTAATGGAGAAAACAGTCTACAGGCATCAGCTCGGCCACTGTCCCACTTCCAGTCCTCCAATGTCTGCCTCCCGGAGTCCGAAGACTTGCAACGCTAATTACTCATCTTCAACAGCCACCTCCCGGGATTGGAGTCTTCAGCAGCGTAATCAAGCCCAATTTACTCCTTACCCAACCTAGAAATCAAATTCGTTGTAGCTTGTCTCCCCCTTCATCTCGTCGCCGTCTCCTCGGATCCCGGAGAAGTGGGTCCACCGGAGTCGGGAGGAGCCGGCGTCCCACACCACTTCGGCCTGTCAAAGGTGCAGATCTCGGACTCGTATCACGTGCATGCTCCAGGCCAAGACCAAGGCAGCGGTTTTGGACGACCCATTTGGATCGGACAGCTGCCTGGGGATTGGCTGCGAAGCCAGGCAGCAGCATTCTGGCCTGCATCTCGCATCTCAGGGCACTAAAACCAGCCAAAAGGAGTGGGGTGTCACCAAGGGCGGGCAATTTTGGCGCGCGCGATAGGCACCGAAATAACGAGATCACTCACAATTCGCCTCACCAAGCAGTCGTGATGGCTCGCAAAAGGTCCAAAACTCTGCGTCGCCCAGGGTACCGCTGATTACCCCTTGCAGGAAAACCTGGGCTCAAAGTTTACCTTTTGTCCAGACCATTGCGCGCTTTCGGGAGACGTGAACAGGCTCAGTCTTGAAGACCCCTCTCGAGTCTCGACTCCAGGTCTCACACTTCCCTCACCTCACCTGCTTAGTCGAACGGACTCAACAGAAGGGGAACCACACCAATTCCCATCCTAACCCTTGCGATTTATGAGTCCATAACATCCACCACCCTCTGGTTTGGCGGCATTTAGACTGCCGCCCCGGCGCGGCTAACCCCCTACCACATTTAGACAGCGGCACACTCCAACCCCGCCATGGACGCCTTTATACCCATGGGAGGCGTCCGGCCGCCAGCCTTCCAGCGCAGGTTGAGCCGCTTGTATAACGATACCAAGAAGTCGTCCGACTTTGTCAAGGATCCCGTCCACCATGCCGAGGCCGACCCCGAGATCAAATCGCTTCACCGCAAGCTGCGCATCCAGAAGGACCGCCTTGTAACATGGGGCCTCGAGTGGTCCGACCCGAACCAGTCGGCCGAGGTGCTGATCGATTCGTCGCTCTCCAAGGCCGGACTGAGCGAGGTCGTCGGGAGCATCATGTCGACTATCAAGGACATCCTCGCCGAGGCTGAGCCGCTCTGGAACAGCTCGCGCCGCCTGGCGGGCGAGCGGGTCGAGCCCGAACCCGCACCGAGGCGCGGCGAGAAGATCCGGATGGTTGTCTGGGACAAGAACCGGTTCGAGGATCTGATCCGCGACCTGACCACGTCCATCGACACGCTCTACGATCTCTCGAGGACGCGGTCCTCGCAAGCCTCGGCCGCCGTCCGGCAGACCCTTTCCGCCCCGTCCCCCGCCCCGGAGGACCTGCGCCCGTTCGAGTCGTCCCGGATCCAGACGCCCCAGCAGATCGACCCCCAGTCGCTCACTAACCTACGCTCCATGCAAGCCGAGCCCATGACGGAGCGGGCCGAGCCGGCGCACTCTCGCGAGATCGTCTTCATGAGCAAGCAGGCCTATGCCGAGCTCACCCAGACCGCCGCGGGAGTGAGGCAGCCGCACGCCCCGCTGCTCCTCGAGTATGCCGCCTTCGATTCCATCTACTCCGTGACGGGCATCTCACCGCCCATGGCCCGTTTCGAGAAGGTGTCGGCCGGCCTGCAGTCGGAGCCGCAGCGGCCGCCGGGGTCCTGGACGGGTCTGCCGCGCCTGCTGGGCTACTTCGAGGACATGGAGAACTCGAGGTTCGGCCTGGTTTACCAGTTCCCCAGGACTTTCAATCCCGTCACCTTCGAGCACCTCACTCAGAACCCGCTCTACAACCTCTGTTCTTTGGCCGACCTGCTGGCCCGCCCAGACTTCGAGCCTAAGCTCGAGGCCAAGTTCCGGCTCGCTGCGAACCTCGCCAACACCGTATTCGACATGCACGCCCGCGGTATCACTCACGGCAACCTTGTGGGGGACAACATTTCGTTCTGCAACGCCGTCGGCACCGACCCCGAGGTCAGCGGCATCAACCAGGGCGAGGTCGACATCAGGCGGCCCCTGCTCTCTTCCTTCGACCTCTTCTCTGACCCGCTCTCGCAAGATGCCCCCAGGCCCTTCTCTCTGTACAGGCACCCCCTTGATCCCAGGAACAGCGCCCAATCGCCGCTGGCCAATAATGCAGACTCCAAAACGTTCGACCTCTACTCCCTCGCCATGGTCCTATTGTCCGTCGGTCTCTGGACCAAGCTCGAGAACCTGGTTCCCAACATGGAGTCGCCCACCCTGCCGGAGTCGGTCTTGGAGACGCTCGCCATTCGCTGCGGCTCGCTGTACATGAAGGCGGTGCAGACCTGCTGGAACGCCGTTGACCAGGAAATGTCGGGCGGCCTTGTGACTGAGCAGATCGTGTCGCGCGCCCAGCTCAAGGCGAGCCGCTACCTCGAAGCCTGCTGCATTCTCGACGGCGTCAGCAATCTGGAGGAGCGGCTCGGTGACGATCTGGGTGAACCCCGGCCGGAACCCGCGCCGCCGATCACGGCTGGTCCGTCTGTACGCAAGTCCGACAAGGCCCGAGCAGCACGGACGGAGAGCAAGCCCGAGCAAACCGCGGCTCCCGCCCAGGTCGTCCGGGCCGACAGCGAAGGTAGGAAATCCATCAATCAGCATACCCCCCGAGCCGGGCTGACAGCTGGAACAGTCGAGGAATCCACGAAGCCGTCCAAGAAGACGCGGCTTTACCCGCAAATACCCCTCCCCCCTGATATTGTCGAGAAGTGGAACACTATCTTCATGCCCCAGATCAACAGTGCTCTACGGCACTTCTACCGCAAGAACCCCGAGTCGGTCGAGATCTCGCTCGAGTCAATTGGCGAGAGCCCCCAGAGGACGAAGCCGACCGTCCTCGTTGTCTGCACTTCGGTGGGCAAGGTTAAAGCGATCTTGAAAAAGAAGCTGGGTGACCTCTTTGACGGAACTGCCGGCGTCGCACTCAAGGTGTGCCGGGGTCAAGTCCTCCGCTCACGGAAGCAGCCCAGCCGTAGCATGGCCAAAGCTGTCGACGACGGCCAGGAGGAGGTGGTGGCGGCCAACCCGGACTTTCAGGAACGGCCAAAGAACGGCGCGAGCATCGGCGCGTGGATCGGCGACCGCCACCTACCTCCGGTCAGCCTCGGCGGCCTCATCACGGTGGACGACAGACAGTACGGAATGACGGTTCATCACATGCTGGATGACCCGGACCAGGCGGCAAAAGCGGGAAAAGACGGCGCGCCGAGGAGTATGGCCGGCCCGAGGACAGACCTGGCAGCGTGGTATGCCGATCAGTATCAACACGGTGATGACGACCCCGACAGCAGCGGCAGCGAGGACTATGCCTGCGAGTTTTCGGATTCAGAAACAGACGACACCCTTTCTGAATCAGCCATCACCAGCGACTACTCAGACGAGGAGGAGGAGGAAGACGACCACTTTGAGCCTGGCGACATTCCCGGCGTCGAGCCGGGGTGCGGGGAGGGCTACATCATCACCCAGCCCGCGCTTGACGACGTGCCCGACGGCTTCTACCCCTCCGCCGAGACCGAGGATGAAGACCACCTCGACACCTATACCGTGGGCGAGGTGTACGCGTCCAGCGGGATCCGGCGGCGGACGGAAAACGGCCTACTCCACGAGATCGACTGGGCGCTGTTCGAGTTCAACGACGACCGGGCCCCCGAGGGTAACCTCATCCCCAACATCCCGCCGGCATCCAAACCCAGGCGTCTCTCGTGGCAGAGCGAGGTCGCAGACGATGGCGTTGTCCACCCAACCTCGGTTGTACCCTCATCCAGCTTGCCCGGCCTCGAGGTCCAGTGCATGGCGCGCACGAGCGGCCTGCAGAGCGGACTCGTGCTGCAGGCAGTGGCGTCGGTCAAGATCTACGGCCGCGTCTCGCCCAGCCAGATCTACCAGGTGTCCGGCACGCAGCCCAAGCCGCTGCAAACCCCGGCGTCCGGGCGGGCCGCCCTGCCCATGGGCATCCCCGGCGATAGCGGCGCTTGGGTGGTGGACCGTGACCAGGGCGCCGTGTGCGGGCACATTCTCGCGTGGAGCGAGCGCAAGCGCGTAGCCTACATCTGCCCCATGGATGTGCTGATGCTGGACATCGCCGAGACGCTCGAAGCCAACGAGATCCGCCTGCCCGGTGGCGAGGTCATCTTCTCGCGCAAGCTGGCCCAGAGCCACGTGCCGGGCCGCATGTCGACGCAGTCGAGCCGCTTCAGCCGCATGAGCGGCCTCAGCCGGGTGTCGGAGCAGGTGTCGGAGCTCGACGAGGACGACGAGCAGCAGCAGACAACGCCGAGCTTGGTCTCGCCGCTCCAGAAGCAGCTGTCGAGCCGGCGGTCGCAGTTTAGCCAGCGGGGCTCGTATCTGGCGCAGCAGCAGCAGCAACAGCAGCAGCAACAGCAGCCTCTAGCGCAGGAGGTGGGTCAGGATGGGGATGACGATTCTTATGACGAGGCAGTCGAAGTGGAACTGCCTAAGGATTTTCAAGACATGCAACTATCTGATCGGGATGTCATGATGAGGTGGATTGCTTGATACCACATGTTTCTTTTCGTTGTATTTGTTTGCACTTAGCGTATCGCTTTGTATAATTCACGATCAATGTATATATGAATTGCTTCAGATGCCTGCGTGTCACAATGACTGGATTGATGCGACACGACTATGGGAGTAGATGCTAGCACAACTCGACCATCATGACGAACAAGGAAACAGGACCGCATAAGAGAGGGTATATAATAGTGATACAACAAAGGAGAGTCAAATACAATTTGTTTGCCGCCCTGGCCAACCCTGGCTTTTATTACCCCCCACTCCGTCTCTGAAACACGCCCCGCTAGCATCGCGCAATGAGGCAAGTAACGCTCGGAATCATGGTCATGTCTCGTATCATCCGCTTCTTCCACTTCTTCTCACAACTCATCCTTGATTCTGGCCGCTGTGTCCTTGACGGTATCGGTGGCGTCGCTCGCGGCGCTGGCCACCTCGTCACCGACGCTCCGGACGGCCTCACCGGCCTGGTTCGCAGCCGAGGCAGCAGTGGCCTGGGCGGCGTCCGCGACGCTGGACGCCGACGATAGGCCGGTGGCGTAGGCCGCGCTTAGGCGTGAGATGACGCTCTCGGAGAAGGACGGCTCCTTACCGACGAGCACTTCGGACATGATGCTGCTCACGGCCGAGTATTGCTTGGCGATTTCGTTGGACCCCGCCGAGGCGTAGGCGTCAACGGCGCTGGTGACGGCGGCCCCGCCCTCGCCGGCAGCGCTCAGGGCGCTCGGGTACCAGCCGGTGGGTGCCGGGGCGCCGTAGACCTGGATGCTAATCTTGGAGACCACCACGTCCCAGCTCTCGGCGACCTTGTCACCTGCAGCTGCAGCTGTGTCGTAGCCAGCCTCAGCAGCAGCGGACAGGGCAGAAGATGCACCGTCGCTCACGGCCGAGGCCGCGGAAGCTGCCGATTCGCCGACCACAGAAGCCGCGGAAGAGGCGGAACCGGCCAGGTCCGTGGGCGTGGGGGCAGCGGTCGCGGAGCTCAGGGCCGAGCTGGCGGCGTTGAGAAACTCGGAGTACCGTTCATGCGCCAGACCGACCCCGGCATAATAATTGTGGCGCGCGTTATCGAGCAGCCTGCTGATTTTCTCGGGCGTGGACGGGGGCGATGAAGCCGTGGTGGTTAGGCCAATAGCGGTCTTGGCGCTCTCGTACTCCTCCTGGGCCCACGCACGGCCTTGCTGCAGTTGTTCGGAGGCGATAGCCACTACCTGGGCCCAGTCCACGCCTGGGATCTGGGGAGCCCGGAGCATAGTGGGCAATGCACCGGCGTTTGTCGTGGTAGTGCCGTACAGCTGGTTGGATGCGGCCTTGATGGCGTCGTCGAGACGGGTACTCGCAGAGGCCATGGCGTTGCTGTATGCTGCCGTGACAGAGGCCAACAGTTTCTCGTGGGCAGGTTTCGGGGTACCTCGGATCTGAACGGACACGATCGACAAGGCTTGCGAGTATTGGTCGTTGGCACGCGACATGGCCGAGGTGTATGCTGACTTGAGGTCCTCGCGCATCGAGTCCATGGCCGCCGAAACATCGTCCAGCGTATCTTCATCGTCGTCATCGAGGATCGGCTTACGGTTAGGGACGACCTGAGCGGCGGCACCGAAAAGCGCCGGTTTCACAGTGGCAGTGTCGGAGACAGGCAGGCCCGTTTCATCGGACTGAATGTCCTCGCGGTCAGGCTCGGCAGAATCCTCGGCGGAATCCTCGACGGGCAACTCCGCAAAAGCGGCCTTGCCCTCGTCCACCTGCTCGGTGAAGTTGCCAACCACCACGGGAGTCTCAAAGACCATGCTCGAGGCGATCTCGGGCTGATCGACGACGCCAGGGGTCGGCTCGGAGGTGGGTTCGACAACACTGGAAGGTTCCTCCGGCGCTTCAGCCACAGGCTCAGCCTCTGCTTCTACTTCCGGCTCGGGGGCCTCTTCGGCACGGGCAGGGTCGGTTGGGCTGGCCTCCGAGTCCTCGAGAACCACAGAAGCCTCAACGGCAGGCTCGGATGAGGGGTTCGAAGTCCCCAAGGCAGTAGAAGTGCCCTCCTCATCTTTCTGCTCGGTTTCCTGCGGCTCCATCATGGCCTGGGTAGCCTCGGGCGTATGGCCGCTGTCTTCCTCGGCCTGCTCCACCACCGAGGCTTCAGCATCCCCCGCAACGTTCGTCGCCGCCTGAGCAGCAGCCTCGGCGGCTTGCTCCATCAGGGTGCTGTCAAACTCCGGAGTGTCGTCGCCGGCCGCCAGCTTCCAGTTGGCGACCTGCTTCAGGCGGGCGAGCTCCTTGGCGGTCGTGGAAGCAACGCCCATCGCCTCGTCTTCGATGTTCGCGGCCTCGATCTGGGCGGCTTCGAGACTCGGGTGGCTGATGACGTGGTTTTGGAGATCACTCTTCCAATCGTCGAAGCGACCCTTGAGAAGGTGGTACTTGGCCCAGTCCTTGTACGTGATCCCGTCGGTCCACGCCCACTTCATGCCGATCTTCTGGAGGGCCAGATCGCGAATATTCTCGAGGATGGCAAAGTGGGTCTCGGCGGCTTGCGTGACGGAGCGCTGCATCTCGATCTCGTACCTCTCGCGCCATGTGCGTACGGCCTGACCCTTCTCCTTAACCGCCATGCCTGCCCGTCGGACAACCTTGACGATTTGCTCCTGAGCCTCCTCAGGAGTGGCGCCGCCTTTATTCACGGTCCCGACGATCCCCTGGATGGCGCGGCGGAGGTTCACAAGCTCCGAGATGGCGCTAGTTTGCAGTTGCTCCAAGTGCGACTTGCCCGTGGTCCTGGCATTCCGCTGGATCATCCTGTTGGCAATTTCTTGCACGCGATCGTCAATCTCAGCGGCAGCCTCATCGGCGGCCTTGGCGTACCGCTCTTGCCAGTCCTTGAGATCAGCCGCCACGATTTCCCGGGTTTCACGGCGTGAAGGATCTTCGTTTTCGAGATTCTCGTCGACTTCCGGCGGGGGGATCGGCTCCATCGTTGACCTAGGGCGGGCAGAGTCGGGGGAGGGGTACCCCTTTTCCGTGTTGGCCGCACTGACGGACGCCGTCGGGGTGGGAGCCGTGGTGACCGAGACGGCAGGCTTGGTGAACGAAGAGGTAGTCTTGGTCGAGGCGCTCGTCGAGGAGTCGGTCGGCGGCTTCGGGACGGACTTCTTGCCGGTGGTGCTGTAGCGGCCCAGCCGCTTGCCGATCTTAACAAGCTGGGGCTCGACGTTTTCCACGTAGACGGCCCTGATCTGCGGCCCGACAGTGCCGTCCAGGAAAGCATACGTCTTGTTCCAAGTCCAGACAAATACCGGCACCACGGTGTCGCCCGTGAACGCCGAGGCCGCGCGGTAGCCTTCGTGCAAATGCGGCTGCAAGTACAGGTATGTCGGCACCAGCAGCTCGTGGTAAGTCTGTAGGGTGTTGGTCCGCGCAATGTCGTAGTACGGCCCAAAGGCATCCGAGACGCGGTCGATGTGCGGTCCCAGCTTCTCGTTGTACTGCGCCCTGGCGAGGCCCTGGTACTTCTCAATCTGGGGCTGGACGCTTTTTTTCCACTGGGCGGTGCCCAAGGCTTGGATTTGCTGCACGCGCGGGCCGCCGTACTGCTTCGCATAGCTCCAGGTGGGCGTGATGACGGTCTGGTCGACCGTGTTGTAGTATGGCCGCACTAGCTCGACGTACGGCGCTGCGTATGTGTCATAGTAGGGCTCGACGCGGGGCACGAGGGCGTGTTTGAGCTGAAAGTAGGGTTTGCAGATGCGCGGAGATGTGTCGTCGCAGGCCTCGAGGGTGGCCGGGCACCGAAAAAGGATCGACAGGATGGAGTACCACGTCAGTAACCTGTGGGAAAAAGGGTCAGCGGGGCTTGCAGCCAGAAAAGAGACAGAGAGTGGGCTGTTTACCGTGCAGCAATGCTAAAGGTTCTAGCGAGCATGCCGGGCCCACGGAGCTTCTCCTTCGTCTTGGGGCCTATCGCGTGGCCGTTGATCGGAGACTTGATGGCGCCATTGATGCCATTTGCCGCCCGCGATGCCTTGGCCTTCAGGGTGCCGTTCGCGTTGTCCATGATGCGGATACGGCGTGGTTCAGCGCCAGGCTGACAATCGGAAGTCGCGCCAATGCGTCGGACGGGAGAGCCGCGTCTGCTCGATCTCGGAAGCTCAGTCGCGCCCCGGGGGACGGAACAATCGGATTTGCCTTCGCGCGATGGCCGGGTGGCTTGGTACTAAGGAGAAATAGGATGGTCGATTCGAGAAAAAAAAAAAGAAGTTGGAGAATGGCTGCCGCACGGAGCTGCCTGCTTATCTGGCGCCAAGAACACGGGGGTCGGCCCAGGACGAGGACTCGAAACGACGGTCGGAGAAATCCACGGCGTGAGTGCAACGTTGAGGTTGTAGTTATATCCTACATCGAATTGTCAAACGAGAGGGAGGGTTTATTGCCAAACGAAGTTCCCAGAGCATGCATGACTTTAATGTCCGCTTTGTCCTTCCATCTCAAACCAGGCCAAAGCTTGGTTTTCTGTGCAAGCGTGACGCAGCAGCCCCACCCATCGACAACGGACGTCATCCACAATCCCTCACACGATGTTGAAGGCACGTGCACGCCAAGCCAACCGCTTGTGGGCGTGGGGCAACTTCAGGCAAGCCGCCAGTGCCAGTCAACATAGGTAGTCCGTTTGCAACTCTTTTCGAATCACCATCAAGAAGACCAATTCCCCCCCAAGCTTCCATCCATATTGCCTGCCTAACCTAGAACCCTCTTTAAAGCCCCGACTGTTCAAACGAAACACGGCAAAAACGAAGCAGTGTCGATCTGCTCATTACAGTTCACCTCCGCAGTTCCCTATATCAACGCGACTTGCCTTCCCTCATTCATCTCGAACTGCTCGCCACTCGATTTCTCGGCGTATTCATCACAGTTCACCTCCGCTGTTCCCGGCATCAACTCAACTCCCTTCCATCCTCGATCTTGAACCGTCCGCCCCTCTAATATTCGACCCTTCGATTGACGGCACCACTCGTCATGACAAATGGCGTGCCCATGCAGCAGCCGCCCGACCCGACGCTCGACGCCGTGACGGGCGGCTTACCCCTCGACCGATTCCCAGAACCCTTTCCCGCCCCCGCCCCCGACCCGCCTGTCTATCACAAAGGCCGCCGACGCAAATCCTCATCCACAAGCAGCCGCCGGGCAGAACCTCCAGATTCCCAGCTGCCCGAGCCCGATACCTGTCGGGATATGTCGCGGGGGAGGGCTCCCGCCGAGGAGCCGCTCTTTTTCCCGTGCAAATGCAGCGGCAGCATCAAGCATGTCCACCCAGGACTGCCTGATGGAGTGGTTGTCGCACTCGCAAAAAGAAGCATTGCGAGCTGTGCAAGACTCCGTTCCGCTTCACGAAGCTCTACGACCCCAACATGCCCACGGCCCTCCCGCCCCATGTCTTGGTCAGGCCACCACCGCCAAATACGCGTTGCGCCCACCTGCGTCACATTGGACGAGGGCCAGTTATGGTTGCGAACGTCTGGGGGACTGATTTCTGGTTGCCGTTATTATCATGCGTACCGTGTGAGAACTGCAATTCTGAAATCAACGACCAAAGGGCTGGGCAGTAGGTCCGCCGTCTTGGTCACAACCGGAGACGGGTTCGGCGTCTGCGAGGCGTTTAACGGCACCGACGTCTGCCCATCGAGCGTCCTCTTGCGGCGCCAGCCTCATCGACAAGTCCACGGCAACGCGAGCGCCTTCTCTCGGTTGCCGGATCCAATACCTCAGTCCCTGCTCGGCGGAGTCGGCTTCCTCCAAAATCTCACGCGCCATACCTACTTCAACCGATTCGTGATTCACGTTCTCGAGGGCCTGATCATCACGGTTCTGGTCATCGTGTGCTTTATTCTAATAATATTAGTCCGGGATTACGTTGTGCAACAACAGCCTGAACGCAACCTGCGGGCCGCGTGGGCCGCCGTCGAAAACCCCCAGCCCCCCCCAGTAGTGCTAGTCCGTCCCCAGGTTCAACCCCAGGAGATTCTTCGCCATGCAGCCATCGAGGCCGATGATACAGCCATACAGGCCATCGAGGCCGTCGAAGCCATCGAGGCCGACGATACAGCCAACGAGGCCGACGATGAGGAGGAGCCGGCGCTTCGCCCTCCCCCACAAAGACAACTGGTCGTTCCCCTGGGCGTGCCTCCTCTACCGAGGGACCAGGGAGAGGCAGGGCCGGTTTTTAACATGGAGGCAGCGCACGAGTATCTCGACGTGTTCCGCGAGGCTCGCGGTGATCCACAAGAGATTATGAGAATCGCTCGGGAGCGAGGCCTAGACGACAGGATGGACTACTGGGTACAGATAACCGCGTCCATGATAGCTCGCGAGCGGGAGAACGAAGGCTTTGACGGACTTGAAGGGGAACCTATCTTTGCCCGCCCCGCCCCCAACCCATCGCCTCCGGCGAAGGGCGAATACTGACGGCCCTCCGGTCCCAAACGGACTCAACCCCTTAGCAGCCGATAACTCGGCCTATGAAAGAAATTTTCTCTCTCTCTCCACGCAGGAAGATGCCCCAGTTGTGGAACCGGAAAAGGGCAGTTTGGCCTACTCTCGAATCTCCGAACGACGCCACCAGGCCCCCGAGTCGTGCGGCGTCCCTTCAAGACCCTCCGCCCGTCAGAAGCTGAAACTGATATCGGGGGTCCAGGCGGAGCACCTCGCACCTCTCTGCGACCCCGACCCTGGCCCCGGTCCCGGCCCCGGTACGGCGAGCCCCCGCGGGTATCGTTGGTCGGGTTGCGGACTTCATGTGGGGGCGGGTCGACGCTCTCGAGGAGGCTGACCTCGCTCCCGTTAATTTCCGAGGCGACTTCGCCGAGGATGATCCGGACGACGGCCACGGAAATGCGCCAGCCAACCCGGCAGGACAAGCCGGAGAAGGTGCTGAGGCGGCGGCCGCGGCAGGGCTAGACGCCGAGGCACTAGAAGACGCGGAAGACCTCGAAGGCATCCTGGAGCTCGTTGGCATGCGCGGCCTTCTTATCGGCCTATTCCAGAACGCGATTTTCTGTGCGTGTCTCGTAACCTTCACTATCTTCCTCGCAATCTTCATCCCGTACAACATCGGCCGCGTCAGCATCTGGGCCCTTGCGAATCCCATGCAAATCGCGAGCATTCTCTTCAGCCTCTCCAAGCTCGTCCAGGACTGCGCATTGCTTGTTGGAGGGGTTGCATCCTCGGCTCTGTCAGAGGTTGTCCACCTGCTGAGCCGCGCATTGATGCTGCCGTCCGTCGCCGAACATTCCATGGGGGTTTCCAACACGTCGTGGGCCATGGCCGTGGGCGCAGCCAACCGAATCGGCGGCAACTTTGTGACCGAATGGCCTTTCTCTTCGACATCCGAGGTACGCAATTTCTCCGCCATTAGCCACGCCTCTCTCTTCACGCTCAAGGGCTACGTCGCTGCAGGCTTCTCCGGTCTCTGGGGCCTTCTCGACTTCGTCTTCGGCGGTGACTATGCCACCAAGGGCGCAGCAGCATCTGCCCTGGCCACCGAGACCTTCCCGGTCGTCTGGCAATATGTAAGGGCTTTGCCCGCCGCTGTTTTCACACCGAGCACATGGGTTCTCAACATAAATCTGCCCGTGACTGCGATCGCGACCAACGCAGAACTCGCGCACTGGGGCGGCGCCGACAGGTTCTGGGCCATCCTCATGGGCTACGTCGCCATGTTTCTGATGGCCGCCCTCTACATGCGGCGCGGTGTTCCCTTCTCCACCAGCCAGGCGGGACAACGGTGGGAGACCTACCTCATGGACTGGCTCAACCAAGCCAGCGGCGTTGTGAAGGTCATCTTGATCATCAGCATTGAGATGCTCGTCTTTCCGCTCTACTGCGGCATGCTCCTGAACATCGCCCTGCTTCCACTCTTTGAGCAAACAACGCTCAAGTCCCGGCTCCTTTTCACGCTCCACTACCCGGTCACGTCCATCTTTGTACACTGGTTCATCGGTACCGGGTACATGTTTCACTTCGCGCTGTTCGTGTCCATGTGTCGCAAGATCATGCGCAAGGGCGTCCTCTACTTCATCCGTGACCCGGACGACCCGGACTTCCACCCGGTCCGAGACGTCTTGGACCGCAACGTGACGACCCAGCTGCGTAAGATCTTATTCTCGGCCTTCGTCTACGGCGCCCTGGTCGTCGTGTGCCTCGGTGGTGTCGTCTGGGGGCTGTCCCTGTCCCTACCCGTGCTACCCATCCACACGTCGTCCAACGAGCCGGTGCTCGAGTTTCCCATCGACTTACTGTTCTACAATTTCCTGATGCCGTATGCCGTCAGGCTATTCCGGCCGAGCCACTGGCTGCATGCCATGTACAGGTGGTGGTTCCGCCGTTGTGCGCGGGCCCTCCGCATCACCTGGTTCCTCTTTGGTGAGCGGCGCATCGACGAGGAGGGCCAGCTCGCGCTAGCGCCCGACTCGCCCGACCGCAGTCTGCCTGCTTGGAGGCAGTGGTTCCTCGAGGTGGACGCTGACGGGCGCGTCGTGGTGAGGTCGTGGCACGGCATCTTGGACGGCGATACGGCCAAGCGTCCGGTTGTGAAGTCAGAACACATAGCCAAGTACAATGCTAAGAAGGAGACCCTCGTACGTTCCAACCAGCTCATCACCGACGGGCGGTTCGTCCGGACGCCAGCTTCCGACCAGGTCAAGATCCCCAAAGGCGCCGGTGTCTTCCTCGCCGTCAACGAGAACAACACGAGACAGGACGGCGTGTGGGACAGGCCCCAGAACGACATCTACTCGAGCGACCAGTACCAGCTCGTCTACTTGCCTCCAAACTTTGGCATCCGCATCTTCCTCTTCATCCTGTTTATCTGGGCCTTTGCCGCCGCTACCGGCGTCGCCATCACCATCGTGCCGCTAGTGTTCGGGCGGTGGATGTTCAGAACTATGATTCCGTCACACGTCCGCGCCAACGACATATACGCCTTCAGCATCGGAATCTACGTCCTCGGTTCCGCCGTGTATGCGCTATCCCATGTACCAACCGCCTACCGAACAGCCAGGGCCCATATCGCGGCCACTATGGTCGCTGGCCGCGGTCACCACACCTTCTGGCAAACACGGGATGCCATCCTCCACGCCGTCCGGATCCTATACACCTACTTCTTCATCCTGTTGGTGGCCCCGTTGATCGTGGCGTCGCTGATGGAGCTGTATGCTTTAATGCCCCTCAACGAGCTCATGTACGGTGTTGTTCTCAAACCGGAATTTCGCAAAAGCCCTCGCCGCCGGCACCGCCAAGGCCGCAACCCAGGCGCACACAGTGCGGGTCGTTCAGACTTGGACCGTGGGCCTGCTCTATCTCAAACTAGCGACTCGCATTGTCAACACTTGGTTCCGGGGTTCGCGAGTGTCCAATGCGGCGAGAGCGGTCCTCCGCCGCGGGTGGCTAGACCCCGATGCCTCAATTCTCACCCGCGCGTTTGTTGTTCCTACCCTGGCGATATGGCTGATCGCTGTGACAACACCCCTGCTAGTCGCCAGACTCGCCATCGCAAAGGGGTTTGCGGACTTCGTCATGAAGGGTCCCGGCATGGTGCCGGCCCACGGCCCGCCCGATCAAGCGCTGTACAACGCGTGCGCAGTGCTGATCTACCGCATGAGCTTCTTCGTGGTAGCGCTCGCCATCGGCAGCTGCTTCGCTCTGTGGAGCGCCGTGAGCATGTGCCACCGCTGGCAAGTGCGGATCCGCGACGAGGCTTATCTGATCGGCGAACGGCTCCACAACTTTGGTGCAGCGAATGCGCCTCGGCCGCGAAACGCGTCAGGAGGCAGTGGGGTGACAGCATGATCTGATACCCGGGGTGATATTTTCTTTCCTAGATTTCCATTTTTAGCTCGGCGTTTTGTTTCGAGTTTGCGTGTCAACGCTATGGAGAAGAATCTCCCATCAAGGCCGGCGTTCGGTGTCAAGGGGGTCATGGGAGGTGCACATTGCGAGGTTGGGGGCTACATCAAGATACCTAGATACCTAATGATATTTGAATAAGTAATTTTACGGCATCCCAAGCTCGAGGACTACATTGCGCTGCGTCAGTTTACTACTGCCACTTGGACAGATGGGCGGGTGTCCCCGAACAGAATCGACTCCGAAATCTTGCGTCCGCTGTGACCCTCGCGCCCCAGCCCTACCAGGCCGCCAGGGTATCCTTTCCGGACCTTCTAACGACGCTGCGACATGTCTTATCAACCTGGGTATGACCCCAGAAGGCTGTGTTTTCCCGGTGGGGTGGTAAACGTGCTCCTACATCGCTGTGGCCATCATCAAGCTCGACGCAACCCCTCACAGTTCTCGGTGGGTGGAACTGGCTGCTATCGAGGCAAACCTGACTCAAATTTCCAGAGCGAACGGCGCTGTGGCAATTCCAAAATAGTTTGGCCGCATCCAGGGGCGGCGGGCATCCCTCCCTTGTCGCTCGCCACACTCCCTTTCACTGAAACGGGGTGGAGAGCATCCCAACTGGTAACATCAAGACAGCCATCTAGACCCGTTTCGGGCGAGGGGATCCGAAACTTTCTAACCCGATCTTGAGCTCGGCCTTCGTTGTACTTTAGGTCTGGCTGAGCCGCTTTCTTTCTTTCGCGTCCTTCTGTTCCTCACTCGTTCCATTCGCTCAGCTGCCGGTCAGTCATCTCAACCGTCGATAGTATGCCAACACCGCTACCGGGCCGCCCCGTCTACTCCCGCTCTAATTCCGACCCTTTCGCCGACCAACAAAATTGTCTGCGTCCAGGGCTACCCAGCTCGCTTCCCGACTATCCACCGCACCCCCAAGGGGGGGAACGCGGATTTCTCTCCAGACAGCCGTCCTTCGGGGAAACACCGAGCTCTTCGGGCCGGTCGTCGACCGAGTACAATGGCAGCCACCTCGGTGATATCGAAAAGAGCCTCCCCATCCAAACCATCCCTTCGCTTAGGCTGGAGGTCCTGCAATCCATCACACGGTCTCACCATGGTGACCATGATAAGAGCACCGAACCGCGCTGTGTCGAGGTGAACTCGAAGGCCGATGAGCCTGCCGACGAAGCGACTCGGCCCAAGCTGGGCATCCGGCAGCGCCTCGCCCACTTCACCTGGGCGTGGTACACGCTGACCATGTCGACGGGCGGCCTCGCGCTTCTCATCCGCTCGCAACCGCACCAATTCCCAGGGCTCCATCAGATCGGCCTCGCTGTATTCATCATCAACATCGCTCTGTTCGTGCTGGTCACTTCGGCGCTGGTCGCCCGTTTCTGCCTGTTTCCGGGGACGTTCCTGCGGTCCGTCACACACCCACGCGAGGGCTTCTTCTTCCCGACATTTTTCCTGTCCATAGCCACCCTCATCACCTGCACCCAGCGGTACTGCGTGCCCGACGACCCCGAGGTCGCGCGCGCCACGTCCAAGAGCCTGATGTGGGCCATCCAGATTGCCTTTTGGGTCTACGTGGCCGTGACGACCAGCGTAGCCGTCGGGCAGTATTCGTACGTGTTTTCGGCGCACAGCTTCGGGCTGCAGACCATGATGCCGACTTGGATCCTACCCATCTTCCCCATCATGCTGTCGGGCACCATCGCGTCCGTCATCTCCGAGACCCAACCGGAGGCGTCGGGGGTGTCCATCGCCGTGGCCGGCCTGACGTGTCAGGGGCTGGGTATCGCGGTCGCGTTCATGATGTATTCGCACATGGTCGGGCGGTTGATGCAGTCGGGCCTGCCGAACCGGGAGCACCGGACGGGGTTGTTCATGTGCGTGGGGCCGCCGGCCTTCACCGCGCTGGCCTTTCTCGGCATGGGGAGGTCGCTGCCCGAGACCTTCGACCATGACATGGACGGGCTGACCGACGCCGCCACCATCGAGACCATGGGCCTAATTGGGGCTGGGTTCCTATGGGCGCTAAGCTTCTGGTGGTTTGGCATCGCCCTTCTGGCCGTCATCCAGAGCCCGCCTCGCTACTTTCACCTCGGCTGGTGGGCGGCCGTCTTCCCAAACACAGGCTTCACGCTCGCCACCATCTCAATAGGCACGGCCTTCCGCAACGAACCGATCCTGTGGTTTGCAACGGCTATGTCGATCGTGCTGTTGCTGACGTACCTGTTTGTGCTGTGCCACCACATACGCGCTGTCGTTGTGCAAGACATCATGTATCCGGGCCGGGACGAGGACGTGGAGGATCATTAGTATTGAATTGATAGAGAGACTCGGGCAGGCCCCGAAGGAGCGTATTTTCTTAGTGCGATGAGGAAATCTGGGGCACTGGGATTCATTCATGATCAAATATCAAGGCTCATACAGCTAGCTTAAAACCCCGTGGGCGGGCTCCCTGTCAACAATCCAATAAATCACACTTGAAAAAAACTCAAAAACGACATCTCAGCAACGACGGACGCTTATTCCACGCCCTTAACGCTTTGTGGGTTGTGGAAGAGGTCTGTCGGGTCCCAGATCTTCTTAACCTCACGAAGCCTTGGTAGGTTTGACTCCCAGTACTGCTGCTGCGCACTCAACAACTTAGGGTCGACGTAGCCGGGGTACGTCCCGTAAGCCTTTGGCGAACACTTGCCCACGACCTCGTTATGGAAATTGGTGATAAAGTCCTTGGACTTCTGAGACAGCGGAAGGCCGACGGCATACGACTGATAGTAGAGAATCTTGTCACGGTGCACAAAGGATGTGGCGTTGGTTGGCACGTCGCCCACAGCGCCGCCGGTAGCATCGAAAATAATAGCCCAGGCGACTGTCCCTTTGTCCTGGTCATTCACCCACTGGAAAAGGTCCTGAATCTTGTCGGCCGTGGGCAGGTCCTCCCTCTTGAAGCCGATGCTCTTGGAGTAAAAGGGGACCGGAAGGTCGGATAGGTACAGGTTCTCCTTCTGGGCGCTATTCGCGAGCGCCCCCAGCCAACTCTTTACCACAAGGGTACTCTCGGAAGGTTGCGGAAACATATCCAGGATGCCAGTGGCTTTGAGCTCTTCTTTGGTGCCGTAAAAGTCCCCTGTGATGATGGCGCCGAACGGGAGCATGATGAAGATGGTGCCGAGCCTACGGTCGAGTTCCGGGTCGGCGATCATATCTTGCCATTTCGAGTAGAAGGGGGCGATCTCGGCCGGGTTTCCGAACTTGACATTGTACTCGTATTGGACGATGTCGCCTGGTTCTGGGTGTGTCTTGAAGACGAACTCGGTGATGACGCCAAATCCTGATGCGGCGCCCCTGAGTGCCTGCTCCCGTCAGCTCAGAGTCATGACAGACAGATACCAGGGTGCCGGGTACGTACCCAAAAGAGGTCGGAGTTTTGAGAGCTGTTTGCCCGCCGGATCTCACCGTCCGCCGTCACCACTTCGACCTCGACAACATGGTCTAACGTGGACCCCCACATGCGAGACGTAGGGCCGAGTCCTCCCTGTTGGTAGTTAGCAAGAAAGCTCTCCACAACGACACCCTAGAAAACCCTACGATAGTAGCATGCCCGCCGACGCCGACGCCAGGGCAGACAGCGTGAGTGATGGCCCGCCCTCCCGCGTTGTGTAGGTTCTCCGACATTTGCCCCAGTCTGGTGCCTGCGCCGACGGTGGCCTGCCAGGTGCTGTTATCCATGCTGAACTGCTGGAAATTGACCAAGTCGATGACGAGGGCTCCATCCGCACCGCCAATTCCATAGTTACTACCGTTGTTAGGACCAATTTCTTTCGGAAACACGGATCGGGTACATGTATACTAACCCATACGAATGTCCACCAGACCTAGCCTGCACTTTGACGTTATGTGCGGCAGCGCACTTGATGATCCCAGATACCTCGGAGGCAGTCTGCGGGCGAACAACTCCCGCGGGATTGACCGAGATGTCAAGGTTATACGGGCGCACCCAGAACGACTGGTAGGTAACCGGGCTGCTGGGGAAACCGGCAAAGTCAGTCCTGCCGTTTCCAACACCCTCGATGCATTGCTGCAGTGCGCTGTGAGCGGTACCCATGCTGGATAATGTCGATGATCAGGAGAGCCAGTGGGATGTCGGGGGATGAAGGGGACAACCCAAGAACATCCCCGGACCTACTAGGTGCTCTTCCAGTCCCTGGCGGCCTTTCCACAAAATCCCGCAGAGCATCACACGAGTACAACCTACGAGAAGGGGGCTGTTACACCTCTATTCGTCTCTATCATTCAGCCAATTGGCCACGATCCTCTTCGGCGAGAAGGCCACAGGGGGTACAAAGCGAACACGGTCCTTGAAAAGGAAGCGGATATGGGACGCAACTGGGTACTTCATCGTGATACCGAAAACTGTCACACTAGCACCGTACCGAAGCCCATCCGTGTGATAGTACGGAGGATCGCGTGGACGGTGGTCGGCGATGGAAGGTTGTGCCGTCAATTTCAAAATAGGCAGTCTTACAGTCTGTATACAGTAAAGAATAAATCCAAAGATATCAAGAAAATTATTAGTATTACTCTACGTAACTAGTCCCTTTGATTAATTAACCCACTGAAATACCAGGCCAGTGGTAGGGGGTGCCGGCACTCATGAGTGCAGTACTAATTCCGGACCATGCTTATAGATCCAAAAGTTCCCAATCTTCATCCAGCCATTCCTCATCTGACACATCTTCAACATATATCTTATGCCCCAGTTCCGGCTCGAACTGGCTGACGTCCATATCACCCATCTCTCGCTCTGCTTCTACGTAGCGTCTCGACGCGATGTGCATCTCTCTCATGCGGTCAATCTTGTCCTGGCTCCGCGGCACAGCTTCAAAGGGGAACCACTTCGGCTTGGCAATGAGGAGCGGCGTGTAGTCGTTCCAGTGGACGGGGCGCTCGGCGCCTGTGGCTGGGTCGCGTGCCTTGCGGATGTTGAATGCCCAGGCCATGCCGCCCATGGTCAGGAACAGGTCCTGCTCCACGATCGGGATGCCTTGGCACGTCCGCCGCCCAAAGCCGAACTGAGAGTATCCGTTCAGGTTGAGGCTCCGGTCTGCCGAGTCGCGGTATACCGGTGAGTCTGGGTTGAGCCACCGTCCCGGGTGGAAGGACTCTGGATCTGGGTAGAATCTTTCGTCGCGGGTCATGGCCCTGGGTCGGTTAGCACAGTGGCGTAAAACAGGCTAACACGGAAGGGAGGCATAGTCACCATTCGAGTGGGTGGATTGTAGCTCCGCCAGGGATAAAATACCCGTCGTAGACATCGTCGGCTTCACTAGCATGGGGGATGCCTGTGGTCATGTGTGAGCCACCAAACGCGATGCGAAGGGTGTCATGGGTTGGTGAGTTACTCACCCATGGGCACGGCCGGGCGCCAGCGAATCACCTCCTTGATTGTAGCGCGCAATTTCGGGAGATTGTGTCTATCTTCCCATTCGGGGCATCTACCTCCTAGAACGGTGTCGATCTCCTCCTGCAGTCTGCGTTCCCACTCTGGATGGTGGACCATGGCCAGTATGTAACTCTGGATCGGGCTACCGATGGTCAGGGCTCCGGCGATAGCCATGAGGCTGATGACGTGACTGGCCTCGGGCGCTTCGCTCCCGTTGGACCGAGAGCTGTCGCCTTGGCTGTCTTGGTAGTAGGAAGCAGTGAAGCTGGGCTTCGCTGTGCCGCGGGTCATGTTTTCGCGCACAAAAGTAATACAGGCCGCGCACAATCTATCCTCCATATCGTGCCGTGCCTTCTCCTTCTTCTGCCAGGGGCTGAGGGAAGCGGGCAAAAAGCGGAGGAAACTCATCAGATTGGGTAGTGACCCGGTCGGGCTGATGGTCTCAAGAAGGCCATAGGTCACGTGCCGCAGGACCTGGGCAGGCTGGGCAGTGCCCCAGCAGAGCCGCGAGACGGTGCGGGCGGTGAACTGCTCAATCCATTCGATGTACTTGGACGGTTCGCGGTACATCTGGTACAGGAACCGGTCACGCTCGATAGTCGGGTACGCGTGGAGGTCCTTACGGCTGCTTGAGGCCATCAAGACATTGCAGAGCTTTCTCTGGCGCTTCCACATGTCTTCCCAGTACGTGAGTCACGTGACCATCAGGCTCAAGCTCCCAGTGCATCACTCACCTGACCGTCCCAAAAGCGCGAGATAATCACCGCTGGTGCGGTTATCAGGGAGACTGGGAATAAGAGGCCGATCCGAGTAGATCGCGGCTCTCTTGGAAAGAAGTTGATGAGCGATGTGCTCTTCAGTGATCCATACGTGACGCGTTCCAAACAACTCAAACTCATAGATCGGGCCATGCTTCTTGCCCCAGTCAGACAGTTGGACCCAGGACACATCATCAGGAATAGAGAGAAAAGGTCCGACGAAAGGAGGAGCTAGGCAAGTCAGTAGCACGCTGATGGTAAACTCAGAGAAAGGGTGGCTCACCAATCGGGCCTGGGAGTTGTCTCGCCTGTTGACGTGTCTTGCGCCGTTTGACGTATCTCGCTACCGCGACGGCCGTGCCGACTACGGTAAGGAGTACTGCCGCGATCATTTTGAAGCGATAGATGTTTAGTATTTCAAACACTCAATTGAACCACCACAGTTTTGGCGAAGGAAAGGTGCAGAATGGGGAGTGTGCAGAGAGAGGTAAACGTTGTAAGAGTGTGAAGAGAGCAGAGAATTGGGAGAAACGGGAGGGCGAGAAAAAGAGAAGAGAAGAGCGTTGCCTAGAGTTGCCTGAAGCATGTGACCCGTGCAGCCGACAGAGGGGCTCGAGAGCCAGGTGAGTGGCGATATGGCCGCAGTGAAGGTTCTCGAATCTCCACACATCGTTGAGAACGACAGGGAGCTGTAGTTACCTCGGCTACTACCACAACGGCACCATCGAGGGGTCCTATCATGTCAAAGTGATGCACCAGATAACGGTTGGGGATGCTGAAGCACTTGGTCCTTTTATTCATTGAACGGAGGCTATGGCTGGCCTGGTCTATTGGAGGGGGTATAAACCGACGCCCGAGCGCACCTTGGCCTGCCCGGCTGCAACCACATTCGTTCACATGCTGCAGCAGTTGTCAGCACCACGCAATCCAAGATAGAGGGATCAACTCACCGCTCAACAGGGCTCAACCCCAGCAACCTCATGCCATTACCGAGCACGGTGTGCGCGGCGTCGTACAGGGCCATGCGGGCCTTCATCAGCTCCCGCTCGCTGCCGACGACCTGGAGGTGGTCGTAGCTGCTGCTCAGGGCATGCGTCATCTTGAACAGGTAGGTCAGCACCGTCGTCGGCTCCAGAGTCCGCAGCGTGTTCTGGACCGTGTCGGGCCACAGGGCGAGTAGGCGGACGATGTTGACGGCGTGGGTCTCGGTGAGAAGAGAAAGGTCGGCGCTGGCGATCTCCGCGTCGCTGAGCTCGGCACGGCGGCGGATGGAGGACACGCGGGCGTGGGCGTACTGCAGATACGGGCCGGTGTCACCCTCGAACGAGGTCATGGCATCCATGTTGAAAGTATAGTTGTTGATCCTGCTGGGGTTAGTCGGACGCTAATCAACAGCCAGACAGAGGGCATACCTCTTGCCCGTCATGTCCTGCACCATGACACTGCTGATGCCGAGCGTGTCGGCCGTCGCGTCGGGGTTCTCGACCTGGCTGTACTTGGTCTCGTTCTTCTTCATCGTCTCGTGCATCTTGTCGGCCACGTCGCGCAGGATGTCGTCGAGGAACTTGACGGTGCCCTTGCGGGTGCTCATGCCGAGGACCAGGCCGAAGTTGATGTGCTGGCACTTGGAGGCAATCTCGTTGTGCCCCAGCAATTCGATAATCTTGAACAGCTGCTTCAGATGCAGGTCCTGGGCGGACGCGACGACGTAGATCATGTGGTCGAACTTGTACTTCTCGTGGCGGCCGAGCAGCTCGCTGATGTCGCGGGTCAGGTACAGCGCGGTGCCGTCTCGCTTCTTGACGATGGGTTTCTCGAGACGCTTGCCCTCCTTGCCCGGCACGAGTGCCTGGAAGTCGACGATCATGGCACCCTTGTCCTCCTTGGAGATGCCCTTGTTCTGCATCTCCTGGCCGATCTTCTCCATCATGTCCTCCGACACCTGGCTCTCGCCGCTGTACTCGTCGAACTTGATGTTGAGGCGGGCGTAGGTATCCTGGTAGCGGGTGATGCTGAGGTCCCGGAAACGCTTCCACTGGGCCAACGCCACGGGGTCCCTGTCGGTCATCTTCTTGAAATAGCGGCGGGCCTGCTCGTCGAGGCTGTTGGCCTCCAGCTCGGTCACGTCCTCGCCGTCTTGTTTCCTCTTCTCAATCTGCTCCTTCTCGGCCGTCATCTCGCTGTTGATGCGCACGTACAGCTGGAAGAGGTGGTTGATCGGGTCCTTTGTGAGCGCCTCCTCGTCGCCGTACTTCTCAAAGGCGAGGGCCAGGAGACCGTACTGTTTGCCCCAATCGCCGAGGTAGTTTATCCTGATCACGTCCCATCCTGCGCCCTGGTAGAGGTTCGCCAGAAAACCGCCGATGATTGTGCTACGCAAGTGACCGGCGTGGAACGGCTTTGCAATATTCGGAGAACTGAACTCGACGATCATGCGCTTGTGGCCTTTGCTGGGGTCCTTGGGGTCCTTCAGGCCGTTGAACTTGTTGCAGCCAAACTGGGCGCCGTGCTTTTGGATCAGGGGGATGACGGTTTCGACGACGGGTGCGGGCTTGAGGAAGAAGGCCATAAAGTAGTTGACCACGGTCGGCTTCTCGAAGAGGGGGTCATTGTCGGGGAACTGCAAGCAGCACGGTCAGTCTCGTGCAGCGTAGCTAGCATCGCACATGGGGTGCGGTGACGTGCGAGCTCGTCCACGCACCTTCTCGCTCCACTGCTTCGCCAGCTCGTCGGGCTTCTGTCCCTTGACACGGAGTGCGGGGGCGGCCAGTATGAGGTCGCCCTTGTCGAGACTCGCGGTCCAGGACAGCGCAGAGAAGATGATTTTGGGCTCGACCCCGGATATGCCGGAGAGGATATTGGCGATGTGTGCGCGGTAGAAGTCAAAGGGGTTGAGTTCGGGGGTGGCAGTTGGGGTAGGCGTCGGCGATGGCCTCAAGGCTCCATGCCCTTCGACCTTTTGGGCGAGCTGCTCCATCGGGGAGAAGGATATCTGGGTCGCAAATTGACGGGTCCTGAAAACTTTAAGGTGTTGTTTGTTTGGGAGACGGCCCGGCCGTGTGGGATGACAAAATCGAAAGCTGGAGTGGAGGGGCACGCGGGGTGGGGAAGGAATCGAGGACGTCGAGCCCGAGGGAATGGTCTACAAGCAGTTGATAAAAAAAAGGAACTTCGAAGAGAAGAGAAGAAGCGAGGGTAAGCTGCCGGGCAGAGCGTCATGGGGAGGCTTGCCTTGACCAATTCCGTCCTTCACTGAGTCACTATTCGTTTTAGACGGCTCAATGACACTGAACCCGTTAGGGACTGCGGCACACAGCGGCACTCATCAAAGGACTGCATTGTTGACTCAGAAAACACCCGACCAAAAATTCGAGGGGGCGGGGCAAGGGAGCTCAGGTCCGACCAATGACAAGGGGAGGAAACGCGGGACTCCTTGGTGGGCTGAGGTGGGGTCCCCACGAGCCATCGGCGCGCAGGGATTCACGGTCATTTCAGCTGGATAGCAACCAATCTCCAGGCATTTAAACTTCAAACTGAATGGTATTTAATTGCTCAGTACTAAAAGCTGTACTCTTCGGCAAACAAGTGTATCCCCTGCGCCTCCGTTCCTTTGTGCACTGCTCTCTCGTCCGACAGAAACGCCACGCTATTCCTCACCCTCGCGACCAAAGATGGACCGCCGCACACGACCACACTCGTCTCCCCACCCGTCTCCTCGACTGGACCTCGGATGAACGCGTCCACATCTGGCCTGGTCGATGAGTGGAACACGTGCGAATCGGTACTCGCGTGGCTCGCCCTCTTCCGGACCGCGGGGGCAGGTTGCTCGATATCGGCCGGCGAGGCGCTGAACTTCTCGCCCACGTGCTTTCCCACGTTGTTACCGGAGGAGGACGCGGACGCGGCATCGACAGTCTGGACATCGGTTCCCGAATGTTTGGCGAACATCGAGGGCCCTTGAGTGACGGCGATATGCACGCTGAGCTCGATGCCGACCTCGTTTGCGCGTTCAAGCAGCTCGTGGAGGCGAGACACATAAAAGTCGATTTCCTCCCCCTGCCTCGCCGCGAGCAAAAAATCGACCCTCTTGGCGCATTTCGTAGCTTTTGACTGCAGCAAACTCTCCAAGATCGGCAGCGTAAAGGAGGCGCCGGTCGACGCCGAGATCAAGATGATGGTTTCGTAGATGTCCCATCGGGGCGGCGCGCCATACGGCCCCGACACGAAGACTGTCGAGTGCTCTTTCCGCCCTACTTTTGTCGCAAAATCATGAAGGCGGCGCGAGAATCCGCCGTGCTTGCGCACGACGAGCTGGATGCTGTTACAGATGCACGTGTCCGGCAACTGGTGGGCGCAGGCAATCGTGTACGGGTGCGCCTCGCCCAAGCCGACGCGAGGGATCCAGAGATAGAGGTGCTGGCCGGCCCGCCACTTGAAATGGACGTCCTTGATGGTGACCACGGTGATGGAATCGCCCACGGGCTTCATCTGAGCCTGGTGCCCGATGCGCTGCCCCCCGCGGCATTTCGATTTGTCGGGGAACACCTTGACATTTTGCCAGAGGAGCAAGGCAATGCGGCAGACACGGTCAAAGGAGAGGGCGACGACGGCGAACCACACATTATACTGCGCGCTCGGCGGGACGTGGACAGAGATCAGCCAGAGGAAGAATATGGCGCTGAGGAGATGCTGCAGCACGAAAATCTCATAGGCCATCCTCCGGAAAGGCGCAAGGCCCGAGATCTGCGTCCATAGCAGGACGCCCCAGGCCCCGAGCCCGTACTTGATGGAGGGCATCATCTTGATCTGATACTCGACAGCGTCGGCACGCACCCAGTCGGTGTAAAAATGCCAGCCGTGGACCGAGGCCGTCACGAACATGGTGCGCCCCACCCATCGGTGCAGCCAATTGAGCCGCTCGTGGCTTGTCCCGACCAGGAAGCCAACAATGCTGCATTTGGACGCAAGCAGGTAGAGGAGCGGCACCTGCGTGACGGTGACCCAGGCGTTGCGGTAGCCGATGCGTTCCCAGAAGAAGGCGTCTTTGACGATGACTTCGGTGGACATCATGTAGATGATGAGGATCCAGTACACCAGCAGGGCGATGACCCGACCCAGCGGCGGCGGCGTCAGCCATGAGAACCCACGGATGGGGATGTGGAGCTGCGGGGCGCTCGTCTCGCGGACGACGGCAGTCAAGGTAGCCCATAGCTCCAGAAAGCGGTTGCTCGGTTTGGTGGGGGACTCGATCGAGTTTGACGCCTTCCTCCGTAATCTGTTCTTGGTCAGCCAAAGACTCGACGGCAGTTCACGAGGTGGCACCGACCGTCTTTGCGACTTGTAGAAGTTGACACCTCGAATCAGCATGAACGCCCCCACAAACCCGGCGACGGTATACCAATATCGGCGGGCCAGGTCAGTGTTCAGCGGGGAGAACATGCTCGTCCCATGGTTCATATGGTCCATATTGCCGATCTAGGGCTGCTGCCACAGCTTCCGTGGCCAACCCGAGTGAGAGTGCCACGCGTGGCTAGGATGTCGAATGACGATAGCGCCGCCGAGGGGCCGGTGTCAACTCGGGGGCCGACACGATCGGCTCCACGTCATCCTCCGGCCGAGACGGGAAATATGGTGCTACGGCCACGGGCCGTGTTTTTGGTGGCACAACGCAACGACGATTCTCTGATGTTCAATCTCCGGTCGCACGAATCCAAAGGCGAGTCGAACTCGCCAGAATCCAACCCAGTGTGCCGTCGTTGCTTGTGTTGCGAGTAGACAGTCAGCAGTCGAGAAAGCCTAGCCGTGGCGGGTAAAGCATGGCGGCATGGGAGACATGAGTGATAGACACTGCAATGCAAGTCGACCGGGGCTAAATGGAGCCGCAGGGCGGGCACGGGTGGTGACCTTCAATCATCAGTCATCCCGTGGGGACAAAACGCATCCTGCTCGACATTAGCCCAGCTAATGCACCAAAGCTGCCACTCGGGTACTTGGGGCCCTTGACGGGGGAGGATGCATCCCAGCGACTTCCAACCCACTGCGGCTTCCCACGAGCCGGTTTCGAGCATGCTGGAGGCGAAGGCCAGTCTGTGACTGGCTAACGGAAACAAAAAGTTCGGTGCGGCGTCGACAATTTGCTCAAACCCGCTCTCGCACAGGAACGATACCGCATGCGGTTAGCCGTTCGCCCGCAGAATCAGTGGCGCCATGCGCGGGTTCTCAACGAACGCGGCTGCGATTCAATCTGGATGGTGGTTCCTGGAAGATCCGGCTCGAAACTGTCAGCTTGAGATAATTTCCCTCCCAAGTTTTCAACGACCTCAAGACGAACTTGGCTTTTCAAGCTCCACTGCAATGCCGTCGCATCACAACAACACGCGAGTCCTGGCCCCTTGGCAACAAAGCTTGGCTTTGCTTGACGCGGGATATTGCGGGGTGGATGGGGAGCTGTCAGGCCAAGAGACCAACCAAACACCGAGGGGAGCTGGGAACCTTGCAAACCTCACAAGAGTCGCGGGGTTACACACGGCATGGGGAGCCCGAGCAGGGACTCCAAAGATCCGCAAACCTGGGTTGTCAATCCCCGGGAAATACTTGTGCACTCGCATTCTGCAGGTCCGTGAGAATGGACTAGCAGTTATGCAAGCTAGTGGCATTGCACATGCAACAGAAGCCGGGCAAATCGGCACGAAATGGCTGGGAAAGGGCCCGGAAAGACCCTGGACTGGAAAGACCAACCCACAGTGGATCAGAAACAAGGCCATCAACCTGGAACCCGTGCCGAAAGTTGCTCGCCCACCCCCAAACTGAGTTGCCAGCGGTCGCCTAACCAGGTACCTTACCTACCCGAACCGGAATGCGTCAATGAAGGGACCTTGCAAGCTAAGGTCGGGACCTGGGCGGTCACTTATAAAACCATTAACCCCGGCATCACCATCACTGGGCCTCGCCCTTGTTGCCTCTCTGCTTCAGCATCCCATCTTTTCCCGTCTCATCTCGTTTCCCACAATCTCATCTGAAAGACCCGACGATTCCGTTCTCGTGACCCATCACACCCACAAACAGGCAAATCTCCCCCACCTACTTTCATCCGACCTACCAGACCGCCGCCATGGTGTCCCTACGCTCCTTGTTTGCCGCTGGCGCGCTCTGCCTCTCAGCCGCGAATGCCCACTTCGAGCTCCGACAACCGCCCTCGCTCGAGGGTGACAACATGAACGAGGATCTCGAACCCAACGCGCCCTGTGGTGGTGGCGTCGCCGACCTCAGCACGAACAAGGTTGTTGATTTCCACGTCGATGGTGATGCTGTGGCTTGGTTCCTAGGCCACCCTCAGGCCAAGTGGCTCATTCGCGGCACCCTCGACTCCAAAGCCGCCGGCAACTGGACCGAGATGTACCCCATCATCCAGCAAGACGGCCGCGGCGAATACTGCCAGCCTGCCGTCACGGCCCCGAAGGCGTGGGCGGGCAAGAAGGGCATCATCAGCGTTGCGTGCGGAGCCCCGGACGGTCTTCTCTTCCAGGTTAGTTCTCATTCGTCTCGCCCTTCACTAATTTTGTTAACCATTGCAGTGTGCCGCTGTCAACTTCGTCTCGGGCGCCAATACCTCCCCCAGCCCTTGCAACAACGGGTCTGTCAACGCCAACTTCAGCGAGGACCCGAACCTCACCGCCCTCCTGGACGCCTCAACCACAACCAGCCCGGGTCCTCCCGAGTCGACCTCGGGGAGCGCAGCGCCTTCCCTGATTCTGCCCGGCAGCGGCCTGTCGATTGGGGGCCTTGCCGTCACCGCAGTAATGCTTCTAGTCGGGGCAGCGGTCCTGTGAGCATCTTATGAACGGCTGTCTTTTTTAGCGTTGTTAGGTTGGAGCGGCTATGTCGAGTGAGACCAAGGTTCAGCGGGCGTCTTGAACATCTTCGACGGAAAGCAGAATCCGGATCGTGTAATATCAACAAAATACCAAGGTTTCAAGTTCAGTCGCGTGAACCTCCCGCCGATGTCGTGTTTAGGAATAACCCCACGTACATATGAACTGCTGTGGCCCCCACCACTCTGCACACACGCCATTGGGCCGTCACCGCATCCACAGGTGTCTGCCTAGCCAACTCGACTAGGTAGGTAGGGTGTCGTCGAGGATAAAAATCCCAGACCAGGGCACAACAGCTTTCATGTCATTCATCCTCCCAGGATCTGAACACATCCCTAGAATCACGTAACAACCCACAATGGGCTCAACCACTATCCTCCGCGGCTTCAAGATCTCTGCCGCCGTCCTCGATACCTTCCTCGCCGCCAACAATGTTTACGAGACATACGGCACGCCACCCTTCTACAAGGACCATCCGGATGATGACCGCATCTCAGTATTGCTACACGCCAAAATTGCAAAAGAAGACAAGGATGCAGATAAGAACAAGTTCCGCGTCATGATCCCCTCCTTACGAGGGTCTGCGCGCTCCGAAGTCGCCTACGTCACATACACTTGGGTCACCGTCCTCGCTCACCGCGAGCTGGCTATGGACGAGGATTTGCCAGCCAAGGTCCCCCTTGGATTTGAGGGACTCAGACAAGAAATCCTCTCCTTCCGCGATACCGTCCCCGACGGACACCAGATCCTTGATGAGGGGCACATGGGGCTTTACGTGGTCTACACGCACGACATCCGGGGCCTGTATATGCCCCAGGAGTTGCTCGACCGCGACAAGGTTTGTCCTGCCCTCCACTCATGCTCCTAGTCTGCCAGGCGGGAGTACTGCTGAATCGTTGACTAAATTCACGCTTTTCATCGTAGGTTCCCCAGCACTGCGACCGGTGTGATGCAGCTTTCTTTAACGAACCAAATTCGAACTCGGCGTTTTCAAAGAGACAGTTGCACCGCCGAGATGTTCATGGCTGCAGGGAAGACATCGATCCACTTCCGAACGCGTGAACCGTCTTCTACGATGAGAATGAAGACCGTGATAAGCCGTCTAGGTGCCTGAAAAGGAATATGGGGCTCCCGTGCATATAGCATGTATCCAGCTTACTCCAGTGCCGCCAGCGGGGGTAGGCTGGGTATGTGATCTCCGTGTAAGCACTCGCCGCGTTTGGTTTAGCTAGATAGGTGCCTACGAAAGCATGGCCGTTAACCCGAGCATGCCGTCATAACAGAGGGCATTGACATCTCCCCGGTCCGTCCTTCGAAAAACATGCTCAAACCCGTCAACCAGTCCCAGCTGCTCCTTACATTTCTGCCTCACGAGTGCTAGGGAATCACTGCCCAACACCACACATACTGGCAGCTTGCCTGCCATCCCCTCGGAGGGCCTCCGAGCTGCGAGGCAAATCCGCCTGGCTCGAAGACTGTGCAGTGGATTCCCTGGCCACGGAGCTCTTTGCGCAACCCTTCAGCAAACCGGCCCAGCGCCGCATTGGAGGCAGAATAGTGAGCGAGGAAGGAGATGGGAGCCCAGGCAACTCCTGCGCCGATGAAGGCCACTGACCCACACCCCTGAGATCGGAAGTAGGGAAGCATGGCTTGGGTGACGCGGATCGGGCCAAAGACGTTGACATCGAATATGTGTTGCATAAACTCGTCACTTCAGACAGGATTAGCTGGCGGTGAGCTTAACTTGAGCTCAACAGGTTCGGGCTAGATTCACATACCTCGCTTCTTCGATGGCCTTCGGGGCAGAGACCCCGCGTTGTTCACCAAGATATCAATCCGCCCAAAGGATTCCCACGCCTTCTTCACCTGGGCCTCTATATGCTCTCGACTCGCCGATACGTCGAGGTCCACGACGGCCACATTGTAGGATGCCAGATGTGCGAGCCTTTCTTCTGCCTGCCGACCCGTCGCAACAACTCTATCACCTGCTGCCAATGCACTAGACACCAAGGCTTCCCAGAGGCCTGACGTTGCGCCGGTTATGAGCCAGATAAGGGGAGCCATGGACTTGTTCCCGCGAAAACCGCTATAGAGAAAGAAGAAAGGAATGAGAACAGGGAAGGGAGTGGTTAGGCGGACCAAGACGCTTTTATATGCAATTCCAAGTTTGATGGGTGCTAACTGAGGGAGTTTCTGGTTCCCGGGATGTTTTTCGGTGTTACTTGGTAGTAGTGATCTCCTGGTCCCTTGGTTTGCATTGGGCTGACACACGACGCTGAACCCGGAACTCCGAGTCCCTGGCTCAAATCGTCCGGCCAAGATAGGTCCGGTTTTGAGGCACAGAACAGCCATGCCGGTCTGGTGGTCGAAGTCTCAACGTTGAACCCTCGGTAGCAATTAGAGATGCAAATAAAAGGATGCATATATCTCCCAAGACGAGCTTCTGCCGGTCTCAAACTGGCTCACAGCCATAAGCACCTCCCTTCGTCTCTTCATTGCTCAGAACCCTCGCATACACCAACATGCCGGAATTCATGCTCTACGGATGTACTGGCTACACCGGCCGCCTTGTGGCCGAGTACGCAACGTCACTTGGACTCGAATTTACCCTAGCTGGCCGCTCGGAGAACGCAGTACGGGCGCTTGCCGCTCGTCTCAATGCGCGGTATCGTGTCTTCAACGTCGACGACGCCCTCGTCATCGACGCATTCCTAAGAGGCGTCCCGGTCCTCCTAAACTGCGCTGGTCCTTTTGCGCACACAGCGGGCCCCCTCATGGAGGGCTGCATCCGAAACGGAACCCACTACCTCGACATTGCCGCGGAGCTCGACAGCTATCACCTAGCGGACAAGCTGGATTAGAAATCAAGGGAAGCAAAGGTCATGCTGATGCCGGGATGCGGCGGTAGCGTCGCCATGCTTGGCTGTCTCGCCAACTACGCGCTAGAAAGCGTCGAGCGCCCGGCTTCCATCGATGTTGCTCTGCATGTCGCAGGACCGATGTCGCGTGGTTCGGTGGCCAGCGCAGCGGAAGGCGGCCTGGCGACTCAATGTCTCGAGCGCGTTGGGGGGGCCGTAGCCCAGAAACAAGATGCCTCCAACCCAGGCGCGACCACGAGCGACTTCGACTTCGGCGACGGCAAGGGCCAGGTTGCCTGTTTCCCGGTGACGCTGCCCGACCTCAGCGCGATTTGGAAGACGACCGGGGTGGCCAACATTCGGACGTTTGTCCACGCCTCGGGGATGACTACCCTGCCAACTGGCGACTCGGATCTTGCAAGCCTGCCCGAAGGCCCAACGGCGCGAGAGAGAGCCGCCAGTCCGTACCATGCCTGTGTGGCGGTCACCAGCGAGGACAGCCCGGGGTCTGTCAAGCGCGCGGTTCTGCATACTGTGAACGGCTACACATTTACCTCGCAAGCATTGGTTGAAGCTGTGAGGCGGGTCCTGGGAGGGGAAGTTCAGGGGGGATTCCAGACGCCGGCGGGTATGCTTGGGACGCGTTTTGTGGAGAGTGTTGCTGGCACGTGTATGAATTAGGTTCAATACATGGGTAGGCAGGTGGATAGCGTGGAAGCAAGGTTGCTAAATAGGGGTTACAGTACCTTACAAAGTAGCTCTCAATGAATGATGGGGGGTTGATTGTGCCAATGTTATCCCCAGTGCCGCCACCTCCTCTCCGTCTTTGTGCTGCCTGCTTACGCCGGGGCTGGTCTCTCCTGTGTAGCCTCCGCACTGGTTAACACCAAGCAGGGGCTACAAGGCCCACCCACCCACAACCCGAAACCCCGGGTGCCGGAGATCTGGACCATTGCCATAGCTCATTCATTACCTCTTCAAAACCCCCGGGCTGAACCTAAATCTCCGGAGTCCGAAGTCACCCTCGCAAACCCGTATTCCGTGCCATCAATGGCATCCTCGGAGCAGTCACTCACTTGTACGCGCTGTTCCAAGCGCTTCACCCAGAGTAAGCGTCTTTGATTTGCAAAATAGAGCCAAGATTAACATGTCTCACTCTCCCCCACTCCTCTCCAGGGTCATCCTTGGTAAGGCATCGAAAGCGGTGCGTTGGGGGGCTGAGAGCGCCGCCCAGGCAAAAAGCATGCCGCCAATGCAAAAGCGCAAAGGTGCGGTGCGACTTGCAGCATCCGACCTGTGGCCGGTGTCTGGCGAGGTCCTTTCATGGGTGCGACTTTGCGCCGGGGAACGCTTCGGCCGTGCCGCCGCCGACACCCCTGCCGTTACCATTCTCCCCCGAGGACGACGACGGGCAGGCCGACACCGCGACCGCGCCCTCCTTCACGGCACAGGAAGAAGACCGCCACTCAAATCGCGCCGCTACTGACAACACCGACTCTCATGAGACCCTTCTCTCACACATACCAGAGGGAATCCCGGCCGATCTCGTAGTGTCCCAAGAGCGGCGCCAGACCCTGCTCGGCAAGGCACCCAATACTCCGAACAACGATCTTGTCGTGCGCCACACAATGCACTTCGTTATCCGTGTGCTGAAATCATGGCCACGCATGATGACTGCTCACCACACTGCTCAGCTCCCGCCTCCGATCCACAGGCTCCAGCTGGTAGATGGCGTTCCGGCCCCGCTGGCAAATTGTTACGCTTTGGTCAAGATGTGGGGCGAACATACGGACGGGAGTCGTGAGCTGGTGAAGAACACCATACTTTGCGAGATAGAGCGGTTACTCGGCGAGGTACGTGCATGTACATGGAGAAGAGAGGTGAATAATCCAGGCATGGCTGACTGTAGCACACACCAAACAGTACACCACGTACAACGAAGACAATCTCTTGGCGGCTGCACAGCCCCTTCTCATCATGCTCATCATGCTCTTGTTCGGCATGACGGGCCCATCCAGCAGCGGACTCGACCACCCAGCCGACGCCCAACTCCTTGTCCGCATGTGGGACGTAAAAGAGCACCTGTCCCAGACGGGGCTCCTCCTCGACCAGGAAACCGCGCACACTATTCCCCCCTCCTGGAGGCAGTGGGCCATGGTGGCCGCCAAGCGCAAAACCATCCACTCGTTCCACCATGTCGAGTGGGCGTGGTCCCTCCTCCACGGGTACCCCGTGCTCACCTGTTTCGAGCTGGCCCCGCTGCCGGCGCCCCCGCCCCGCTACCTCTGGCAGGAGGCCGACGACGAGGCCAGGTGGCGCCGCCTGTACGTCGACTGGCTGGCCCAGTGGAAGGCCGGCTTCTACCGGATGATGGAGTTCTTTCACATCAACTCCGGCGGGGCGTTGGATTCGAGGAGCGAGCTGTGGCTTGCTGATGCCGACGAGTTTGGCATGATGATCATGGCTGAAGGTAAGCTCCCTTTGCCTTTATTGCCCCTGGCTCAACTAACCGTCTATCTACCTACTTAGTGAATGCTGTTGGTGGGCCCTAAACTTTTCTTTGGCAGGGAACTGACTAGTAGCCTACATGTACTTGGACATGCCCCTTCACTGCATCCCGCTCTGACCGCGGAGCCCCAGCCCCTTACCAGGCTATCCTCGCAAAGAAGCCCTTCGGCCACTTTCGCACACAAAATTTACGGGCCTCGTCCAACAAAAGAATTCCCACACCAAGCGCCATAGGCAGGAACCAATGCTCAACCGGCACCTCGGCCGTGCCCAGCACCTTCTGGAACTCTGGGATGTACAGCCAGAAGAAGGCCATGGCCAAGGCAAACAGCATGGCCGGAAACAGGTAGTAGTTTTGCGTGGCCTTGTTGAACAGCGGCGGATGCTGGAAGATGGACAGCCTGCGGGTGCGAACGGCGAGGAGGTTGAACCATTGGCTGGCAGCATCAGCCTGTTAGCATGGCTTCTTTCTTTGGCCAGGGGGGTACGGGGACGTACATAACAACCAACGTCACAAAATAAATGGAGCTGGCCTCATTCAGCTTCTGCAGGTAATAAGCCGCATCGACGCCCTCGGGGTTGCCAAATGCGAACCAGATCTTGCTGAAAGGGATGCCGGAGCGCTCCAGGTACCAGTACGACATGGCAAACGAAGCGACCGTTTCGAGGACGCCAACGAAGCCGTACGTCTGGAGAATGAACCTCCAGTCGACCAGGCGGTCGACGCCAATCTTGCGCGGCGGGCGCATCAGCACGTCGGCCTCGGGAGCCTCGTAGGCGAGGGCTGTGGCGGCGAGACAGTCTGTGAGACAGCTACAGACCCAAGTCAGCCAAGATGTCATTGAGGCGTCACCGACGCAGAAAAGGGGCAAGGGAAGGGGTAAGAAAAGAGGCAAGGAAAACTGACCAAATAACAATCATCAAAAACGAGCTCAGAATCTGTGGAATCCCCAACGCAACATGGTCATGATGGGCCAGAACTCGCTGAAACTGCCCGCCGGCAGCAGATAGGCAATCGTTTTTTCAAGTTTCAAACAGGACCCTCCCAAACCTCACCGCCTCCACAACGCTCCGAAAACGACTCCAGCAGCACCATGTCGGCCGCCTCGATGGCAATGTCGCTCCCGCCCCCGATCGCGATGCCGATATCCGCCGCCCGCAGCGCCGGCGCGTCGTTGACCCCGTCGCCCGTCATGCCCACCACGTGGCCGCGCGCCTGCAGCTCGCGCACGATGCGCAGCTTCTGCTCGGGCGTCGTGCGCGCGAACACCACCTCGCCGTAGTCGGCCACTAGCTGGTCCCACTGCGCCGCGTTGAGCGTGATGAGCTGCGGGCCGGTGACGACGAGGGAGCGGGGGTGGTGTCGTCGTGGTTGTCGTCGTGGTTGTGGTCGTGGTCGTGGTTGTCGTTGTCGTCAGCTTCGGAGGATGGTTCAGGGGAGCTTTTCTCGGCGGGCGGCTCGCGCGAGAGGGCCGTGTGGTCGGCCACGGCGTGGTCGGCGCTGGTGATGATGCCACACTCGCGGGCGATGGCCTGCGCGGTGAGGGCGAAGTCGCCCGTGACCATGAAGATGCGGATTCGGGCGCCGCGGAGGGTCTTGATGACCTCGGGGATTTCGGGGCGTGGCGGGTCGATGATGGCGACGAGGCCGACGAGCGTCAGGCCGTTCTTAGCTTGGGTGAGCATCTCGCCTTCGAAGGAGGGAGAGGAGGGCGAGGAGCGGAGCGAGGACTTGGAGATGGCCTTGTGGGCGAGGAGCAGGACACGGCGGCCCTGCGCTGACCAGTCGTTCTTGATCCTGTCAATGGTCTCCCGTGCAGCGGCATTCAGGCGCACTGCCGCACCAGCCGAGTTGGTGTAGTTGCTGCATCGCTCGAGGAGGATCTCAGGGGCTCCCTTGATGGTGAGAAGTCTAGGAATTTATCCGGGACTAGTCAGCCCAGTTCAAGCGAGTTCTGGTGTAGGCTGGGAACATGGGCGTCTTACAGATCACTGGGCTCAAAGATGGCCGCAGTACCCCTAGGCATGGCAACACCCAACCCTTCAGAGTTAGTCGACCCAAGGACTCTGATCATGAACTTGTTTTTGCTGTTAAAGGCGAGGTTGAACCTGGTAGCCCAGCAGCGCTTCAGCTCCGAAACAGGGCCAATGCTCTCGGCGAAGCGGAGGATGGCCTGGTCCGTGGCGTCGCCGTGGACCTTACGAGCAGCAATGGGCAGATGTTGAGTTGCGGCGTCGAACTCCCCGGCGTTGCAAAGACCGGCAAGGCTCCACAGCTGATCCAGAGCGCTGCTGGTCTGGTGACTCTGGTTAGCAGCCCTGGCGCGGTCCTCCTCGACCGTCTCCAGGCCGACAGCGTAGTCGGTGACAATCATCTTGTTCTCAGTCAATGTGCCCGTCTTGTCCGAGCAGATGACCGAGACGGCGCCGAGGGTCTCGACAGTCTTGAGTGACTTGCAGAGGATTTTGTGCTTCTTCATCATGTTGGCGGCGATGGTGAGGGAGGCAGTGGTAGCGACGGGGAGGCCCTCGGGGATGAAGGCGACAGCGATTGAAACACAGGAGATGATGAGGTTGGGAACGCTGATCCAGTCCGGATGATCCGTCCTCAGCCAGGCGGCCCTAGATTCAACGTCAGCATTGTCACGTAATGCAGGAGTGTGACTCGAGGGTTCCCTTACCAAGTAACAACGACAACGACGATCATGGTGAACATGATGGAGCAAATGATCCACACAAAGTTGAGCACTTCGCGCTCGATTGGCGTGAGGCCCGTCTTAGGCCCGTTGGCCAACCTCGTGATCCGGCCAAACACGGTACGGCCACCCGTGGCAACGACGAGGCCTTTGCAAGTGCCTGAGGTGCAGTGAGTGCCCTGGAGACCGATGTTCTTGGTTTCGAGGTAATTCTTGTCGGTGCAATCGACAGTGGCGGCCAACGGAACGGATTCACCTGCTATCAAGTCAGAGGTGGACCACGCGGTCGTTGAGATTCGAGGCGATTTCGCTCACCAGTCAGAATCGAGCGGTCAAAGCTGGCGTCAGAAGAGACCTCAGTGAAGCGAACGTCGGCCGGGATCTTGTTGCCGGCCTTGATGAGCAGGACATCGCCAGGAACGATATCAGCCGCCATGATGGACACCGGAAGACCATCTCTGACGGCCAGGCACTCCCCCGGGATCATGTCCTTGATGGATGCCATGACGCGGGCCGAAGACCAATCCTGCCACATGTTGAAGGCGGCCTGGATGAGGAAAACAACAACCAGGACAATGGCCAGGGCCAGGTTGGCTGGCGCCGGTGGGTTGCCCAAGGGCTGCCATGCGATGAAGACGAGGATACCACCGACGAGGAGGATGGCTCCAAACCCCTTGAAGAAGTAGCCGAACCATTCCCGGAGGCGATGCGTCTCTGGCGGCGGGGGTGTGTTCTTGCCAAATTCTGCGGTTCTCCGCTTGATCTGGTCCTCAGACAAGCCGTGATTGAGGGAGGTCGACAAGCGCCGGGTGGCCTCATCAGAGGTAATAGTATGCCATTCGAGGTCAGCAAGGTCAGTCGTGGTGCCCTTTTGAACCTTCTTTTGCAGTTCGGCCTTGCGATTATAGTCGTCAATGTCGATGGAGCTGCGTGGGACGGCCAACTTGGTCAGCATGCGTCCATGTATTGATGCTCAGGGGTGATTTGATGATCCCGAGCCCTCGACAGCTGGGAAACAGGGGCACTCACACAGTCCGATACTGGATTGCCAGGCCAGCACCAGGGTCGGCACGGGAATTCGAGTGAACGCTGTGGATGGACATGGAACCGCGGGACCGGGCACGCTTCAAGCCAGAGCGAGCGGTTGACTGGGCCGGGTGGCCTTCCAGATCCTCCATCCGCCAGCGGACAGCCGGGGGGTTCGACGGGATCGGCGATTTTTCATCCATGGTGGGGTGACTGCAAGAAGGGCGAGTTGGGGCCGGAGCAAAGATTGGAAAGTAGGAGTGAAGTGTGAAAGAAGCCAGCATGGGAAGATGGGCGGGAAGTGCTTTTAAGTGCGCACCCGCAGAGAGGGAGACAGATCCCTGTGGTCTCGCATCTAGTACCGCATGCAGGTTGGACGCAGTAGGATCCCAAGACCGGTTACCCCATCTGACATGGGCAGTCCAGTTGGTACTGCCTGTGGGCGGCGTGGGTGCGGATGCTGGCAAAGGGGTAATCCACTGGGTAACGGACCAACCAAACTTGTCGGGAGTGTTTGATCACAAGCCAGCTACCAGGCTGCCAGGGAATTGGCCATTGTCGGCGGCTCCAGGGAGCCATCATCAACATTCCACGCCCAGGTGTGCTGCAATGGCCATAGGAGTGGCGCCGGCGGAGAAATCGCCTGCTAAGATACGAGACCGGACACTGCCCCAACCATGGCTTTGAGGGAGATGGGAATGGAGCAAGCTCCGGCAAGCTTCGGTGGCCAGGGATGAAGGAGCTGCATGGGTGCTTCTATAGGGGGGGAGTAGGCGATGGTTTCAAGACTTGAAATGATGAACATGATCCAATGGCCCGTGGCCAAGCGGCGGCATGCTGCACTTCTTTGCAGGAACAAACCCCGTCCGTACAGGACATTACAGGCTGGGATTTTTATTTACAGCTGCGCCCAGGGATCAGGACTCAGGAGTCGCCAAAGAACACCGGATTGGAGACTACCAGGTTGGATATTGCGCTAGAAACCTTGGTCCACGACAAAAATGGTCCGAGGACCTCAGGACTCGGACAGTTGGCGGGGCGTGAATGGGAGGGACTCGAGGGGGTGATGCAATTTAGCGTCGCTAGGTAGTATCTCGAGCCAAGTTGCCCGTTTCGGACGCCCCAGTGCCTGCAAAACACCAAGAGCACAAACCCATGATGGGGTCTCGTAGAGCAGTAACAGAAAGCCGAAATTCGCTCATAATTGGCCTGTGAGAGGAGCTTTGGCCACTTGCTACGAAAGACATGGTCAACTTAAGCTTTTTCCGGGACAGGTCCCCGGCCCCTTTTTGGCGCCAGCCGATTGGGATTCAGTGGCCGGGGTACTTGGAGGTTCCTTTGAGTGGAGGATCCAGTTGAGGGTCCTTGGAGAAGCTGTTCCTCCAATCCAACTTTGGTCTGTGGGCACTGCTGACGCCAGGAGGCCTCCCACAGTCATGGCCAAACCAAATGACGCCACTCACTCGCAAAGAGGCAGCTGGGAAAAATCCCTCAGCTACGCCCTTTGAAATTGACGATGTGGAAAACTACCTATTCTCCCGTCGAATATCACAAGCTGCCGAACCTCCCTCGGTGCATGCCGGGCGTGCAGGCCATCGCGAGTTGGCGACATCGCTGACTGCCTGTCCCCTCGCCGAATGGGTCCCGTCCGCCCCTGCCTAGCCAGTATCTAAGTAGCACCGTGTTGATAGGTAGCTATACCTGCTATTACTGTGCTCGTTGAGAGGGAGGAGTTGTTGGTTGTGGGTTGACTACCTAAATACATGTGTTGATTGCAGGCAATGTTGGAAGGAGGGAAATCGACGCGCCTGCATACGCGCACAGGGTCATCATGGATTTGACAAGATTGAGTGAGGCAAAAGTTGCATTTGAGGCTTTTTGTACAGCGTCGTTGAAATGTCTCAAGATGGCAGATTGGGGTTGTAGAACTGCCCTGCTGTCAACCGCATCGTCCAGGGGAGAGTTGGGCGGAGGAGTTGGCTGGCAAGAGGGGTTTGTTGGATGATCTGGCATAGTTATCGATTCGTTGCTTGAAATCGGGTCATTCAGATCCGTCACAGACAGACTAAGAAGAACTTGGATATGCGTGGGAGGAGGCCGGGGACAGAGCCACGTGAACTAAGCCTCGCGAATACAACAATCCTCTATGCCACCAGAGTGCTGTATGTGGCATTTCCCTGCGCCATATTGTCCTGGGCTATGCCCCCAACTTGCTACGGCCCCGGAAGACGTCACAGCTGCTTCTTATGTGGCTGAGATTGACCCCATCCTGGGATCATCATCCCGCAGGATGAACTGTTCATCGTACACCGGCCATTGGTAGGCCCGGCCGCCCGGGACAGCATCCAACAGACAAGAATCAAACCTTTGGAGCAATGGTCGATCAATGTAACGTTAAAATGTCAACCTTTCGTCAGTTCACGCGTTTTCTGCCCCCGGCCATGTCAATCCTTCCAATTGATACTGCGCAATGGCCGACTGATCGTCTATTCATAGACGCCATGCGAGTATATAATGATTCCCGTCAGACCATGGCCGCAACACTGGTGATACCAATGCCTGTTGCTACCACCGATGCCAACGATGTGGTGCAAAACAGAAATCTCCGGGATATTGACTGCCGTCTTGCTGGCGGCCCAAGATGCCGCGGGCCAAGCCACCGTGACATCCATACGAGCCATTGCGCTGCCCACGGCACGCCCTTCAAATGCCTTCGAAGTCCCCCCTGATTTTCCCAGCGTGGGTTTCGAAACAGCCTTTCTCGCCGGCTACAACAACTCATTCTCCAACAAGCTGGTGGCGTCGCTAGCCTCGCGCATGGCCGTGCCGCCGGTCATCAGAATCGGGGGAACCAGTGGGTGAGTGCATTTAGGATTGAGCCGCTTCACTCCCTCCGACTACTGTATTTCAGTGCTACAACATCCTGATTATGTCCTGACCCGCCGTAGGGACCTCATCACCTTCAATCCGGGCCAAGCAGAACCGGCTCATTGCACCGAGAAGGCTAAAGCCTGTGACTCGAATGCCAGCTTCATCCTCGGACCGAGCTACTTTGAGGTCTTCACATACTTTTACCAGTCCGTCCACTTCTCCATCCAAGCCCCGCTCGGCGACGGCGAGCCCAACCGCACCAACATCGTGGCCTATGTCAAGCGTGCCTACGACGCCTTGGGCAGTGCCGCGCGCGTTAACGCCATCGCTATTGGAAACGAGGTGAACTGGTACCATGACAAGCAATATGATGCCGTCGAGTACGTCGCCGATGCAAAAGTCGCCAAGGACGCCATCACCTCGGCCCTGGAGCTCGGCAGCGACCCCATCTGGGAGATTCTGGACACGGCGTCTGGGCAGGCGTCCAACGGCAACGCCCCGTACACGGTCGAAGGCGTGTTCGATGCGGGCATTAACCGTGATGACCGGGTTAAGTACGTGGCCGAGCATTACTACCAGTTTGACGGCAAGACCCACGGTATCCGGGACCACCTCCTCAACCACACCGCCGTCCGGCGCAAGCTCGCCAACTACCTTCCCAGCATCCAATACACGCACAACACGCCCGGGACAAGGTTCATCCTCAGCGAGACGGGCGGGCCCCTTGGGGTGCACGAGGAGGACCAGACCTTCTTCGCCAACACGCTCTGGTCCGTCAACTTCCAGCTCTACGCCATGAGCCTGGGCGTCAGCCGCGTGTCGGGCACGCAGCGGCCCGAGGCCCGGCGCAGCCTGTGGATCCCCACGGCCGGGTTGGCCGCCCCGGGCCCACGCGTACAAGCCCCCTACTACGCGCTCCCGTTCATCGCCGACTTTATCGGCAAGACGGCCGCGGGCGGGAAGCGAGGCGTCGTCGACTTGGATCTCGGCAGTCCCGTCCTCAGCGCCTACGCCATGTTTGAGGGCCAGACCCTGGCCCGCGTCGCCGTCGTCAACTTGCGCGAGTACGCGGGCGGGGCCACGCGGAACGCGGTCAAGGTCCGTCTCCAGAACCTGGGTGCTGCGGTCAGCCAGGTCCAGGTCGGGCGGCTGCATGCCGACGCGGGGACGGCGGCCGGAGGGTTTGATGTGAATGGGAAGAATATCACGTGGGCGGGCCAGCAATGGAGCTACAAGGCGGACAAGGGCGACGGTCACGGCACGGTACAGATGAAGACTCTTGGAGTTACCGGAGGTGTGGCAGAAGTCGTTATTCCGGATACCGAGGCGGTGATTGTATATGTGAAATAAGCTAGGGAAGTGATGTGAGCTACTTGCTGACCGGGATTCGACCAACAGATCCCGGATCATGGCCAAGATGTGGACCTGTGCTCCCTAGGTACCGTTTCCATACCAGCCTGTCATGGAGGGAACATGTCAAGTCGCCTACTTGAAACTAAAGGCGGATCATAGTCAAATCCAACAATGTTCTCCATTGCCCGAGTAACAACAGTAGGTAGGTAGGTACATGTATGTACCTACCTATCTACCATGCGTGCCCTGCATACCGATCAGTTGAATCATGATACCCACCTGTCCTCAAAGGATTCACACGAATCCTTTGCCCCGTCCTCACGCCACAGCTGCGCCGATTGGCTACCTACATAGGTAGGTACATTTACCTGTTCCTGTACTGAAAGCGAACAAAGACAATAACTTGAAATTAACCGAATGTTTTCTGCAGCTCTACCAATCCACGTCCACCATTGACAGCACCCGATTCATTCTTGGAGATATATAAGTACCTAGGTGTTTGTCCCCGCCAGGGCTTCTAATCTCATTAACGATACCAACCACAGGCAGGCAACTATCTAGGTAACTACCTACATATCCAAGATGGCTCAAGAACAACAATCTGCGGAATCCAGCCCGGGGAGGCAGGAGGGCAACTCCGACCGGAACAACCTCAACCAAGAAAGCCTTGGCTACCGCGAGTACAGGTTGATCGAAAAGTGGATGCCCACCGTGGACGCCATCCGCGTAGCCACGAGCGCCGCCTTCCCCTCCAGCCCGCGAGGTCCAGGCTTCCACCGCTACTGGCACGCCGTCTTCACGCCCCTGCTCGCCTCCGTCGCCGCCGACCCCTCCATCCCCGACCACCTGACCCAGCCGCCCAGCCCCCGCTTCATCGTCAACGTCTTTGACCACCCCCATAAGTTGTGTTGCCCGTGCTCCCTCCCCGAGGTCCAGCCCAGCATCGTGCTGGAACGCCCGGATGGCGTGCGCAAGACGGATTTGGTGCGCGGCGTGCGGGATTTCTTGTATGGTGCTGGTGCTGGTGGTGGGGGCGGTGCTGCGGCTGCGGCTGGGGCGGGGACGGTGAGGGTGAGGGTGTACCGCGCTGATGAGTGGGATGAGCATGAGGGAGATGTTATGGCGGAGCCGTTGTTGTATGCTTGGGATTGGATGAGCGGGGGATGGGACGACGACGGGCAGCGCGTGTCGTTTTATCATGTTGGGGGGGAAGCGCCGCACGTGTATACGTATGCTTGTCCAGTGGGAGAATATGGGAGGAAGATGGAGCAGGACACTGAAGATGACGAGCCTGAGCTCTTAGGATTTACCCGGAGTTTGGCTACTTGAGAGTAATATTAAAGCTTGCTTAAGGCTTTTTCACTCTTTCATATAAAATTGGACCATATAATCTACCAGTTAAGATTTTCTACATACATAACTCGTAGTTTCACGTTTAGTCTCTGGGGATTACCTACTCATAATATAAAGAAATATTATAGAATGGAGACAGCGAGGATGAAGACGACGAGGATGGGGCTGAGTGAGAAGACTCAGGACAACTAGGTACCAAAGGCAGAAGCTAGTTGATTTTGAGAACAGGATACCTTGCCTACCTACTTGCAGCCAAGTAATTAAACTAGGTAGGTAGTTATAGACTCTGAACTTGGTAATTATCAATACAAGTACCACCCATTGCTAAACCCTCTATGTGCCAAGATCTAACGACAAAGTGAACTAACCGATTTCGCCACCTTACTCGGTCTCCTCGAACTCGGTAATCTGGAACTCCTTCGGCCCCGAGTACGCGACGTCATTGTCGAACGGGTTCTCCTCGTCATTCAGGTTGACCGAGATGTCCTCGGGCGGGATCGCATACAGGCCCTTGACGCCGTTGACGGTCACGTTCAGAGACGCGCCGCTGCCCTCGGCCGAAGACTGGAAGAAGGTCCAGGTGACGGCGTCGTTATTGCAGTTGCCCGCGCCCTCGTACACCAAGGCCAGCCACGTGGCGCCGGAGAAGCCCGCGTCCAGGTATGCGCTGCAGTGCACGTCTCCCTCTAGGCCGGGTGCCGAGACGTCGAAGTCGAAGCTAGCGAGGGAACGGTTTAGTATGCAAGGATTAGTTAGGAAAAGCAGTTATAGGAAAGCCCACCGGCAGTATCCGCTGTTGTGCGTCTTGGCCGCGGTGAAGCCAGCGATGTCATAGGGCCCGACTGACTGCCGGGTTTGCTGCACGGGAGTGGCGGCGGCCAGGCCGGCGAGCAAGAGAACAGCCGAGGAGAAGGTCTTCATGTTGGCGGTGTGGTGGTTGTGGATGTGTTGTTTGTAAGTTGTTGAAGTTGTTGGTCGCAAACATGACCGCTTCCATCAGCGGCATCCCTCTCGTCATTTATACTTTTGAACCTTCACCCACGGCTTTTGAACCCACGGATCCGGAGGCGATGCCAGCAACCTGGGCAGGATTGTGTCAGATGGCTTGGCGGTTCTCGTATTCCCGGCCGATGCAGGATTGACCATGCCTAAAATAACCCGCTGCGTGGTGTGGGAGACGCTCGACGGAGTGACATTGTACCGTGTGACTGGAGAGCCCGGGCCGCTTGAACCTGTCTGCCCAGTTCCAGCAGTGATCCGCCAAAATACCTCGTGTTCTGTGACGTCGACATTCCCTTGCAACATTACGGTTGGCCAGCAAAAGATCCTGTCGATGCCGCCAATGGCCAAACAAAATGCAGGAACATGGAGCAATGAATCTCGATGTGGCTGTATACTGTGTAAGCTGATATCACAGAGTTTTTTCTCACTGCATATACCGATGAAGCACAGGGGAAAATGGTGAAGAAAAAAAGTACCTAGATCAGTAAGAATGTTTAAAATGCATCATAAACTGTGGAACAGGCCGGTGGCGAAGCATCTGCTGAGAGTCCAGATGAACAAAAGTCTTGCCTTCCCGAGAAAGAGGAAAGTCAGAAGGATCCTCGTCTGAGCCTGGTCATGTCATGGGAGGAATCAAAGCAACTTACCTATACCAAGTCTGTATCTCACAGCTGACAATCTGTACTACCCACGTTGGATAACGGGCATACCTCGTACGAGCGAGCAACCTATCAAGTCTGTATCTCACAGTTGACTGTGAGAAAACCTCGTCGAACCTAATTATTCGAACCTTGATATGAATATCAACTACGAAGTAGAGACACAACATTTTCATACGGCAATATCAAGCGTCAAAGCAACAGTGCAACCAGACTATGACAAGGATCTGCCCAACTGCGTCGTATTTCGTATCATCAGACGCGACCCAGGGATCTTGAGTTTCTGTCCCGGCAAGGCTCGGGCACGGCGCGAATCAAAAGAATGAAAGTTAATCACATAAACCATCGAAGTTGGACCATCCGCAACATGTTGGCCTAGGGATACCACGGCGAGGCCCGAGGGATAATCAGAGATGTTACGGTCATCGGCTCGAGGGAATAGTTGTGTACCTATGGAGTGCCTTCGCGGTTCAACGACATGCCAGTGGTCATCGGATTAACTACCGTCAAATGTAGAGTCTGCTGTTCATGCGTGGATGTATGTCATTGTTCAAAGTCGTCAGCGAGATGTGAAGGGCGGGCTGCGTTGAAGTTGAGTTGTATCGAGGCAGAGTTGATGAAGCCCAGGTTTAAGACGAGGACAGGAGAATGCCAGGGAGACTGGAAGATCGGGTTATTACATGGGCTCAAGCGAGGATAAGGCTGTGAGTGCAGTTTACAGTCTAATGAACAGGATTGAGAATAGAGATCACAGGAAATATGGCGAGTGTGGGTGAATCATTTCATTGCAGCGTCGATGTGTTGCAAACCCGCGAGCGGCTTGACATTATACATTAACTAGATACAGTAGAATGATACACCCCTTTTTCTGTTGTCCTGCGCAGGCCCCCCGGACGCTGCGCACACCTTTTCAACTCATCCCGACGCTTAGAGGTGGAGGAGGGCGAAGACGGGGCCGAGGAGGCCGGTGATGCCGTCGCAGGTGTTGGTGATCTTGTGAGCGCAGTCGCCGATCTGGCCAACGATGACCTGGAGCTCAACGACGGCGGTGAGCTTGGCAACGATGGAGAGAGCAAGGTTGACAATGGGGGCGGTGATGTTGACAATCAAGCCGAGGCAGGCCTTGAGGTCGGCACCAATGACAGCGAGGATTTCTGATCGCGTTAGTGCTGGTTCAAAAGGCTGACATGAAGGGCTAGAACTCACTGGCATCGAGGACGACAAGGGCCTTGAGGCAGACCTCAACCTTGGCGATGAGGGCCTGGACGCGGACAACGAGGTCAAGGACAACCTCGAGGTCGGCGGCAACAATGACACCAGCATCGATGACGAGGCCGTCAAGCTGGGGTGCGCAGTCCTGGAGGACCTTGAGGTCAACCTCGAGGGCGGCGATGACCTTGACGAGAGCCTGGGCATCGATCTCGGCCTTGGCAACGATGGAGGCTGACGAGAGTTAGTTGGGACTCGGAAAGCGCTGAAAGTCTCTTACCGATCAAGTCAAGGTGAGCCTCGACCTTGGCCTCGACCTCGACAACGGCGTCGACAACGGTCTTGACGACCACGACAACACCGGCAGCGACATCGACGTCGTTGTCACCGTTGGCAGGGTGGTTCTTGATGGGGGTCTTGATGCTGCCAGGGCCGCAGGTGCTGGGGACATCGACGTGGGGAGCATCGACGCCAGTCTTGTCGGTGCCGCTGCACGGGCAGGGAGCGGGAACGGTCTGGCCCTCGAGGACGGGGGCGGCAATGGCGGAGCCAACCGCGAAGGCGGCGAGAGCGGTGCTGAAGAACTTCATTTTGATGGTTGGGGAAGTAAAAAGGTAGTCTAAAAGAGTGACTAAGGTCTGTTGATTAAGAAGTAAAGTAAGTGTATGAGTAAATGAAGGACTGGCTGGCTTGTTGATGCTGAGCGTGGTGGTGAAAAGATTGTTCCAACGAAGGGAGAACAGAGAGTATTAATACTCGTTGACGGCCGCCCCCTTCCCCTTCCAGCCGTCATGGCCCTCACCATGACATGGCTGCATGCAGCGGTGATGGACGCCCACCCATCTCCGCCAGGCCGGGGCCGGCGTGCGTTGCCGGGGAGCGTTGTTCCCTCCCGGCACGTCCAACATTGCCCCTCCAATATGGCCGGGGAGTTCTGTCCGCTCTGAGCATGGTGTTGCTCGCAGATCCCAATAGCCCCGAGCCGGGTTCCACGCCCCCGGGTGATCGCCAGCCCTATGACTCGAAACGGTAACCAGGTTGCTTCGCCGTTGGGCTGGGTTGGATGTTGGCACGCCTGGACACAGGCTGTGGCGTTTTCCCTGCATTCGCAAACCGAACGACGTACGTTTGATCCCAATGGCTCGTACTTTTTTTTTTTTCTTTTTCACCGCCGCCAGTGTCCAGCTCCTACCTCACCGCCAGGAGATGGCTCTTGGACGAGTCGTCGTGAGAGCCAATAGGAGCGTATCTGAGGAGTCAAAAGTGCCCAGACTGCCAAGGGCAGTAGTTAGCGCCGATCATGCTTAAGCTTCGGCACTGTTGTGCCTGTAACCCTGCGGTGTGGAGGCCTGATATGGCAACTTCCGCTGTCATTCACCCCTGGTCAAGGTTATGTCGTTGGTTGTGAAACATGCAGGGCCAATGCCAGGCTCAACACCAACCGTTGTGCCAGTGCAATGCAAACAGACATGTCTTGGGAAAGGGGGTTGCCATGGGTCTCCATCATGATCGACAGCCCAACGCAGGAACCAAATGCAAGCAACCACAACGGTTCGGGTCGGGGGACACAACTGCGCACCGCCACGCGTGCCCTTGCATGCGGCTGAAGGACGGTGTCAAACAAAAAGCAAACCCACATCGGCCTGAAATAGCTTCGCTCCGCTTTTGCCAACCCGCCGAGGAATTATTTCCCCGAGATGTGCCGTTCACTCTCTCCAAGACAGCCAAAGTGGTTGTCGAGAGGCGTCGGTCTCGACTTAGTGGAAAAGCAATGTCTCACGCTGACTAGTCATCGCTAGCTAGCTGTAAAAGTCCGAAAGGAAGTGGGTTGTCATTTGCCCCTTTCCCCACACAGTTGAGCTCCGATCACTGTTGACAGCCGTCTCTTCTCCTGCATGTTGCGCGTGTGATACAGGGTTTCCTTGTTTTCACGACTCGTAGTCCGTCGCCGTTTGGTTCAGGTGACAGCGACCAGGATTACAAAAAAGCGGAAACCCAAGGCACTGGCCCGAGACTGGGTTTGGTACCCAACCAATGTAGATCTTCTCTCGCCGGCGAATGTCGGGGTCTTCGGCTCTGCCAGCTTGTGCATGGCGACCCCTTTTCGGCGCTGCGGAGGTGTCCACCATTGCCAACTCATTTCAAAGTGGTTATCATCCTTTCGGGCGAGGCGAGTCGCGGGCCATCCGGCTGCCGGGTGTGCAGGCCCCCTGAAGAATCGAGATCAACCAACAAACATGTCAAAACGAGTCACCGCCACAACACGCCAAGGGCTCGTTCGTATCTTGCTGTCTTGACATCTACTTGTAGTTACGTTCCACGTCTGGTCTCCACAAATAGGCCCTGATTCCCTGGCAACGTGCCATCGGTGCTGCCTCAACACTTTTTCCCTCTCTCTCTCTCCTCACTCGCACCCCTGCTCCTGCCTCCTGAACTTGGCGGACGGGGCCGGCAGGTAACGGATCCTGAAGTCGGTGGTCTCGGCCGCGTCATAGTCGGCAACCTCCTCCCGGTCCCCAAAGATCCGCAAGGCCTTGACGGCGAACTTGTACCGCCCCGCAGGCGCGTAGGTGCCGTCGTCCAGCTTGCCGTCCCAGCTGTACTCGAAGCGGCCGCGCGGGTTCCACAGCGCTGGCAGGCCCTCGGGCTGACCGATGGTCTTGGTGCCGAAGACGACGCCCGCCGTGCGCGCGACCGTGGTGCAGTTGCTCACGGGCACGATGTCGGCGCGCAGCACGGCGGAGCCCATGGCCAGGCTGACGACCAGCTTGGGCCGCTCGGTGCGGTTCGCGTAGGACGAGTCGTTGGAAAAGCCCGGCGGGGGGAGCACGAAGGTGACGCCCGCGGGCACGGGCGTGTTGCTCTGGTCGCGGGCGCTGCTGATGAGGGCGGCTTTGGAGTCGAGCACCACCACGGAGCGCATGCTGCCCGCCACGCCGAGGTAGGGGAGCGAGAGCGCCGAGCTGTCGGATCCGTTGATGGCGATGTAGCCCGAGTAGACGGGTAGCCGCTTCACGTTGACGCCCTTGGGAGGGGTCGCGGTCACGGTGATGATCTTGCGCTGGCCGGCGGGGATGGTGAAGTTGCTCGGGCTGAACGACAGCGAGGCGAAGTCGCCGGTGAGCTCGTTCGGGAACGCGGCCGGGCTGATGGTCTTCTCGTCATTGAACGTGTAGGCGGTAGCGGCACCGATGTTGCTCAACGAGTAGGTCACTGCGGTCGCGCCCGTGTTGGAGATGCTAAAGTTCTGCACGGGGCTGAAGTTGTCCGTGTCGTTGAAGGAAATGCTCGACACGCTCAGCAGGGTTGTCGCCCTGGCGGCATCCCAGGCCTGGAGCAGACCGGCGCCCTGCTGTGCCACCGGGGCGAGCACAGGCAGAGACTTACCTTGCAGCCGGAAGACGTTGGGACGTGCTGTGGCCGACAACACGTTCTCGAGTGTCTTGGGGTCCTTGGTGTTCCGCGCGGTCATGAGCAGGGCGTAGATGGCCGCGGCCATGGGGCACGCCATCGAGGTTCCGGAGAGCACGCCGTATGAACCAAGAGCACGGGGATAGGTCGACAAGATCAAGCCGCCGGGGGTCGAGAACTGAGGCTTCACCTCCACTTCGTACGTGGGGCCCCAGCTGGTGAAGTCGCTTAGGAACCCGCCGCTGAGAGTGTTCTTGGAGGAGCTGAGGAAGGTGCCGGCTTTGAGGGGGTCCGTCATGTGGACTACCACCTCGGATCCCGCCTCGAGTGCGCGGACCCAGATTTCGCCCTGCTCCGGCGTGACCATGGCGACGCCGACGACGCCCTCCACGTTGGCCGACACGCTGACGGTCCCATCCACATTGTTGTAAAACATGACATACTTGGCTCCCTTGGCTACAGCGTTGGCCGCCTTGTCCACGAATGCGCAGGTGCCGCGGCGAACCAGCACAATGTACCCGGACAGGTCGGGGGTCGAGTCGGGATAGGGCTCGCATCCGTTGGCCGGGTCGGTCGTGTCGAAGCCGACGGACCAGAGAGGGAGGGTGACATCATCCCAAGTCCCCGGCTCGCCAGCGGTAAAGCCAAAGAAGTCCGATGTCCCGTTGATGGAGAACGAGGCGTTGCTGAGGAGCGCGGGCGTGACGGTGTTGTCGACAGACGCGATGGCGGTGACCCTCTTGCCGTTGGCAGCGGTGGACGCGTAGAAGATGCCCGCCGCACCGTCGTTGCCGGCCGAGACCACGCAGGGAACGCCGTTGTCGACGATGCGGGAGACCACCGCGGCCCACGGGTCCTCGCTCCAGCCGGACGCGCCGCCGATCGAGGCCGTGATGATGTCGCTGCCGTCCTCGTACGCCATGTTGTAGGCGGCGATCAGGATGTCATTGCCGACGTCGCCGGTGCAGCCGAAGACGCGGTACGAGCCCAAGGTGACGCCCTCCGCGGCTCCGACGATACCGTACGGGTTGTTGGATTGGGCCGCGATGATGCCGGCGACGTGCGTACCGTGGCCGTTGCACTCGTCGAGCGGGTCCGCGTCCGGCACCGGCGTGTTGGCGCCGTTGAACTTGTCGCCGACCAGGTCGGTGCCGTACGAGACCAGGCAGCCCTCGCCGAAGCAGCCACCAAGGGCCGGGTGGAGGTAGTCGGTCTGTTCTCGCTCGTCAGTGACACGTCTGGCCGGCGCTGGAATGCGCCACTGGCACCCCCGGCTGACTTACACCTGTGTCAATAATGCCGATCTTGATGCCCTTCCCGGTGACAGCCTTGTCCTTGAACCTGTTCACCTGGGTCATCAGGTGCGTGCTGAAAGTATCGCTACCCTCTTGCCGCTTAGACAGAACGGCCTCGACGGCGTCACCCGTGGAATGGACGACGTGGCGCGGGACGGGATAGCGCCGGACCGGGTAGACAGCCTTGATCTTTGGCATGGTGGCCACCTTGGCGATCATCTGGTCGGCATTCTTGGTGTCCTTGAACTGGATAGACGCGCCCTTGAACAGCTTGAAGCGGAGGTCCTTGCGGAGGGACGCTTTGCCCCCCAGGTTGTTGACGAAGGCATTGGAGTCCTAGCGAATCTGTTAGTACGGTACGCGAGACATGGAAGGGCCAGTTCAGTTCCTCACCTGATCCTCTTCGTACTCGACAATGTAGGCTCCGGGGAAGAAAAAGGGGGTGTAAAGAAAAACGACACGGGCACAGACCATTAACACTAATCAACAGAGACAAAAAAGGGCCAAACAAAGAAACAACGAAACTAACCAACCGAGGAAAAAACGACATCGATGAAGAAAAAAAAGAAAAAAAAACCAACAAAAAACACACAAAACAAAAAAACAAAAAA